TCCCTAACCAACTGTGCACATAGGCTCCAGGGTTTTAAGGGTACAAGTAGTATATGAACCTATTTCCGATCACCGGCTACCATAGAATCCCACCTAACGTTGTTCCACTGACTTGCGGATTAAACCTTCAGATCAAAGGCTTAGGAAGTGGCTCCCTAAGAAAACCACCTGTTTCATTGTGAGCACCCGAACCATATCCTACCTCACTCACAAACTTAATGATGGTTACAACTGAAAAAAAATTCTCACTCCAAGTAGCATTCTCGCAAATCGTATTCACAATGATTTGGTAACATTGATTTTTATTTTACATTGAGTCACTTGTCTATTCCCCTTTATTCAAATTTTGTGTTTTTTTTTACTTTTCAATCCATACAGCACCTCACCCATAGTGGAAATCCTGTCATAAAGAATGATCATATTTACACTAATGCAACCATTTTTGAACCATGTCATCTATAGTCTTCAATTATCAACCATGATTGTCGTACAGAATTCGAATTCCAAAATCTGATAGTATTTCAGAAGTGAAAGCGAACTTCCACCATTCTCTGCCACACCAGTACATTAGTAAACACTAAAAGTAATACAAAGGTGTTTTATGAGAATTAAATTATTAGATTTTAACTGTTAAGTTTTATATCATAACTTTGTTTCATAGTTTTCGACTTAAATAACAAAATATTTAATCATTTTACAAATGTGAGTTTTCTTGTCTGTTGATTCGTATTATTCAGACTGAAACTATATATGGCTGTATAGAACTGAAGGTCTCATATGAAACTAGAAGTTCGCCATTGATATTGTGGATGGTTCCCCATTGCTTTGACAAGTTTTGCTGACTGTTCATGCACAAAATTGGTTTCCTGGTTAATTGATCTCATTCATACTGGTGGTTGCTTTTCAGTGTTCTTAAGGACCATTGTCATTGGGATATTGTAAAGCTAACATTAGTGAGTTTGACTATCGTGCAAGCGGAATAGGTCAACTTTGGCCTGTTCGTGCTGTGCATAATTGATTAACGCGATCATTGATCAGAATAATTATACACGTGATGTGGATGTGTATATGAATGGTGCGAATGATCCACCAGGATGCTTGGTACCTGTGTGGTTGCACCATAGGATTGATCTGTACTATTCAGATTGTAGCGTTAAAGCCTATACGGTGTCTGGCTCTCTTGTTAAACGAGATTGAACTGTACTGTTTGGGTTTTCACGTGAAAGTCTGGATGATGTCTCGCTCTCTTGAAAACCAATGTAAAATTATCCTGGCCCATATGGGTATATTATATAACTATGAATTATGTAGTTCCAGTTTTTCTTCTTTTTTTCTCAATTTCCATTATGTAATATCTTTAAAAGTGGATTTAATAAACATTAATTAATTTTAATCAGAGAGAGATTTTGTGGAGATTGTAGTAATTTAATAATTGAATTCATAAGTCAATTGAAGCTAGATTATCACGGAAAACTTAGAAGCATTTGAATGGTCGTTCTATACTAGAATGAATTATTATTTTCCATCTTAATTTCAACATAACATCTATTCTACTCTTAGTTTGATTAATTCACATTAAGTTGAAATATAACTAATGTGTAATTTACTAGTTTATACACTCCCTGTCTTCCCTTAAACTAAGAGACTAAAATCACTTCATATCTTTCTTTCTACGAACTAATTCTTTCTTCCTATACTCAGTCAGTCAGTCAGCTACAACGTAGGACCAGGCACATATGTGCATCGGTCCAGGTCGCCATACCGCATCAGCACAACAAGATGAACACCGGATTCATAGCAGTGGTTAGGTCAATGGTAGTAATATATAAGAGAAAGATTGCATATAGAGATATAGTACAAGAAGAAAGAATTGGTTCGTAGAAAGAAAGATATGAAGTGATTTTAATCTCTTAGTTTAAGGGAAGACAGGGAGTGTATACACCGACGCCATTGTGATCGATTCTGAGCCATGTCACCAAGAGTCTCCAACCATTGGTTACGATAGTCACGCGGACCCCAACCAAGTAGTCTGCATCTACCAACATGGCTCAGACTAGAAGTTAGTGACTTCAAGCATTGATGCCACGTTTTGGTTTGGCCGTCCCTAACTTTCTTCCAACCATTTCCAATACCGGATAGCATTGCACGTCGTGGTAATCGGTGTTCAGGCATACGTAACACGTGGCCCTCTAACAGCACCCAAGACCACTGTATTCTTCCTATACTATATCCTTATTGCAACCTTTGACCTAACCACTCCTATGAATCCGCTGTTCATCTTGCTGTGCTAATGAGGTATGGCAATCTGGACCGATGCACATATGTGCCTGGTCCTACGTTGTAGCTGACTGACTGACTGAATTTACTAGTTGAAGATTGAATGCTTCAATTTTTATACCGCTTATCTCCAAGTTAAATAGACATTAAGTACATAAAATAAATATCTAAGTTACAGTCAACAAATTAATTATTGTACATTTAACTGAGTTGGTATAAAAAATTAAAAAAGTCAATTCGAATTATTCATAATTTCTTTTTCTATTTTATTAAAACATAAACATTGGTACGAGAAGGCATCTAATAGATATGCACCACATAAATCATAGAGTACTGCCCGGGTACCCAAACCGAAGCAGGTGATTTTCTTAGGGGGTCACACCCCTAAAGGTCTAATCCACAAGGCAGTGGAGCAACGTCAGGAGATGCAGTTCCATGGTAACCAGTGACCAACAATAGGTCGATACGCTATTTGTTTCCTTGGGATCCTGGAGCTCATGCGCACCATTGGTTTGGAATGAGGGTTTTCCAACTCCCCTAGGTGGATTCTCCAATATCCACGAACCCGGTTACAGCACCGGGCATTCGTTTTTCGTCTTCTCAATTTCGTAAGCAACACCTCTACAGCGAGAAGGCAGTGAGTAGGACTGCCCTGACATTGGTTGTGTGCACATGGTCATGTGAGAGCATTTAGAGAGCTGACTCTCGACCGTACTAGGGCATTTGAGGGCATAATTTCTTTTAGGTGGTTTTGAGAACTTAAATAACCATAATAAAATATTTATATTCAGAGAAATCACTATTAAATTGGAAAGAATTTTTAAAACAAAATAAATCTTTCATATCAATTATTTCTATTCATACTTAGATCATAGGTTGGAATGTCAATCTACTTTTAGTTTGACCGACTAAATACGTATTATTAACCCTCGTACAAATAATATGTCTTGAAGCCAAGTTCAAAACCTGTTCTTAGTAAATGAGTTACGTTATCATATTTAAATTACTTCTTGCCCAATTGCTTAACTAGTCAGTCAGTCAGCTACAACGTAGGACCAGGGACATTTGTGCATCGATCCAAGTTGCCATACCTCATTAGCACAACAAGATAAACACCGGATTCACAGTAGTTAATTCAGTGGTGGTAATATATAAAAGAAAGATTGCATGTAAGGACATAGTACAGGAAGAAGGAATTAGTGACTTCAAGCAATGATGCCACGTTTTGGTTTGGCCTCCCCTAACTTTCTTCCAACCATCCCCTACACTAGTTAGCATTGTATGTCGTGGTAATCTGCGTTCAGGCATACGCAACATGTGGTCTAACTACCTCAGTCGATGAAGGTTCACAACCTCATCCACTGATTTACCATCATTCCCTAATACTTTGCGCTTAAACTCACTATTAATTTCCCGGTGATCCCGATAGATGCGAACAATATTTATGAGGCATCTGTGGTCAAATACTAGTCGCTTACGAATATATAAAAGAAAGATTGCTTATAAGGATATACTACAGGAATAAAGAATTAGTACGTAGATGGAAAGATATGAAGCGATTTTAATATCATAGTTTAAGGGAAGACAGAGAGTGTATACACCTACGCCATTGTGATTGATTCTGAGCCATGTCACCCAGAGTCTCCAACCATTGGTCATGGTAGTCACGCGGACCCCAACCAAGTAGTCTGTATCTACAAACATAGCTCGGATTGGAAGTTAGTGACTTCAGTGACTGATACCACGTTTTGGTTTGGTCACCCCTAGCTTTCTTCCAACCGCCTCTCCAACACCAGCCAGCATTGCGCGTCGTGGTAATCGGTGCTCAGGCATACACAGCACGTGGCCCAACCATCTCAATCGATGAAGATTCACAACGTCATCAACTGATTTACCATCATGCCTTGATACTCTGCTTAACTGGTAAACATTTTAGTTACAGATTTTTTGTAATTGAAAATTTAGTAGTATGATAATTTGCTTGCTTCAAAAACTTCATTCTAATTCGCCTTACAGGGCAGTGGTTTTTTGGTTAAATCTATCTTTTAACTATGCTATGTTGCTTGATCATCGAACTGAACTGTGTAGGTAGGTAAAAACCAACTGGTTAGGGTCCGTGTAATTATTGTAACCAATGGTTGTAAATGTCAGGGTACTTCATAGGAAGATTTTTTTGTAAAGCAGCTGAAGCAAACTGAATCAAGTCTGTTTAATGTTTCATTATGCATAAATAAGAAGTTTGTATAATGGAACATCATCCTGCAACATTGAGCATCAACATTTATGTTTGTTTATCTCAATATCACTTTCCTACCAACATGCACCTGAAATAAATAAACTCAAATCCATGTTATCTAACAAGTTATTCACCATAACAAACTAAGTGTCAGAATAATTTTGAGTGGTGTTAAAGGTGTTGACGCTTATCGGTTGCTCATATTACGTGAGAATATTTTTTAGCTTCCACTTATCTGGGAAATCTCATCAACCCTTGTGGTCTGGTGTGTGACGAAATCTCAGCACGGATACAGAAGGGTCGACTAGCTTTTGTCAACTTGCGTCATTTATGGCGTAGACGAGATATCCGTCTACCAACCAAAGGACTGTGCAACAGTTCATTTCGTCCTACTTCATGGGAGTGGAACATGGGTGGTAGGCGTAGAGGATATTCGTAGGTTGCTAGTATTTGATCATTGCTCGTATATCCTGGGACCATCGAGTAAGTAACGCAGTTGTTAGGAAACGGTTACTAGGTAAGGATAGCAAATCAATTGATGAATTGGTGAAACTTCATCAGTTGAAATGGCTGGGACACGTGTTACGTTGTTACTGACTGACTGAAGGTTAGCTTATATTGTCTTTTAGAATCCTTCGTGTTTTTTTTATACCGATTATTATCATTTCATTTAAATTTTTTTATCCTAGACAAAATGCACTCTTCAAACAATCTTATTGATGATAAATGTCCTATGTGCAGTATCAATATGGAAACATGGAATACAGAACGTAAACAACTGCATAAAAATACTTGTTGTGAAACATTTGTAAGTTTGTCCTGGATTCTTTCTTTTCAATTTATATGATACTAATTTAACTATAGATCATGTATTGTCATCGTTGTCCTGCATGTCACAAACAGATTGCTGGTCGAGTAAGTTTCATTCTCTTTTTCTTTTTAAACTAAAAAAAATTATTAATGGGTGTAACTTCTTTTGTCATATTCCAATGATTAGTATCAGAATGAGTTTTGTGGAGATTGTAGTAATTTCAATAGTTGAGATCATGAGTCGATTGAAGCTAGACCCCTTCTGATACTAGTCAGCATATGTTCACTAGTGACTGGTTTCAAGATGTATTTCTTGGAGTTCTAGTGAGAAGCAGTGAACAGTGAAGTTCAACCGGGTGAGTTGTGAGATAGTAACTCACTGATGACAATGGTGGATGTGTCGCTCAATTTCGTGGATTAGTTGAATTTAGACATTAACACCGTTGGATGCTGGCTCAGTGATCTAAAGGTTAGGCGCTTGCGCGCGAGACCGATAGTTACTGGGTTCGAATCTCGCAAGGCGGGATCGTGGATGCGCACAGCTGAAAAGTCCCGCAATAGAACGAAATGACTGTTCAGTGCTTACAGGTTTTCCATAGTGATCTAGCTTCAATTTACTCATGATCTCAACTACTGAAATATCCCAGTGAGTAGAAAAATTGTATTTCTGACGTTTCGTAACTTGATGTGAACCGCTTCTTCAGAGTAAACAAATAACCGAATTAAACTAACACAAGTTCAAATTGTGTTATTTATTTTTATCCATTTACTCTGAAGAAGTGGTTAACATTAATTCACGAAACGTCAGAAATACGATTTTTCTACTCATTGGGATATGAAAAATGAATTAACCCAACATTCAATTTATTTGAAACTATCAAGTCATTGTCATTGATGCTGAAAAAAGTATTGTTTGTAGTATTATTGCTGTTCCTAAGGATTGGGATCATCGTGATCCCTTATACAGGGCTTTGTTCGCACATTTTTGTATCCATACTGATATAAGTGATCTAATATATATATTATCAGAAGTAATCAAGCTACCTTTCTTGTTACTCATTTCTAGGCATCTCGAACACATTTAAAGCGATGTGCCTCGAAATTAAACATGGATTTATTTAGTCTCATGTCATTATCATGTCGTGACCATCGTTTCATCAGGTAAATTGTTGTATTTTAAAGATGTTTTTCATTGACAGTACCACAAACTATTTTTCTTCTTAACATCCTTTCAATGTTTTTGCAAAATGTGTTGTCAAAATAATTTATACGATAAATGGTAAATAACGTCATTACACATTGATATTCTGGATGTTATATATAGTTGGTAAGGAATCAGGAGGCAGTCGAGACCGCATATGTTTTTTTCATCAGAAGAAATAGGTCGACGGTTGTCGTGAGCATTGTATATCCTTTTGGTCCACGGTTCCTACTCAAACTCTTGATTGACTCGAAGAGTTTTATTTTTTGATATATTACTGTTATAGACAGTTGTAAACATAGTTTGACGTTAGCCGAATTCTTTACATTATCAGTCTACAGTGGTGTTTTGGAATTCAATTTTAAAGCGATCCGAATTTGCATAGTCTAAATTTAAAACCATAACAGCTGATCTATCGTTGTTTGCTTAATCACTCAGCTAAACACTTACTCATTAGTAGCGTAGGATGTGACACAAATTTTTAATTGAACCAAATCGTTACGTTTCATACCATCACATTCGGAAGGAATGAAAAAATGTGGGGAACATACAAGTTATGACTACAATATCTGTGATAGTAGAGAAGTGAACAAGGAGAATCTAGTCTTAAGAGTAACAAGTTAAAAGTATAGAATGATGTTAGGATTGATGATATAGATTAACTCAAATATTTAGGATATTTGTTTCAGACCGGATGCTTTCGAGTCATATCATCTAAATATCCCAAGTGTAGATTATGATTATCTTAAAGGCTAACGGATGAAAAGATACGTCTCCTAACACAGCTCAGTTGAACAGACAATAACTTCATGAATTAGTGGGATATCTTGGTCTGTCCACCCCTAGCATTTATCCACCTTACTCTTATGATAGGTAGTAATAAAGTTTGAGGTAGAGTGTATCTGAGAGTTTCATGAGTCAATTGAATCTAGACCACCATGGAAAACCGGGAAGCACTGGATGGCTGTTTCGTCCTATTGTGGGACTCCTCAGCAGTGCGCATCCACGATCCCGCTTCGCTATATTTGAACCCAGGACCTACCAGTCTCGGGCTTGAACGCTTAACTTTTAGACCATTGAGCTGGCATCCAACGGTGTTAATGTTTTGTTCTTTTATATTCTATGTTCAACAGCTATAAAGTAATCCAGATTAAACTTCCTTACAGTATATTCACCCTTTGATTGACATTGAGATCTTAGTAATATTCTGTAACGACAAGATAATCTATTTTTATCATAAATACCTGCATAACACATCACTTTTGTTATATATTTTACTTATGAGATTGGATGAGGTCAATGGTTTTACTAAAATGTTCTCAAATAAATCATTCTACTAGGTACTTTGTAAGTAGTTCATAACTTTCATTGTATTTTTCAGGCACGAAAATGAAGATTTACATACGGCTTGTGCATTATCTTTATCTTTAGATGAAGAAGTGAAGCAACGGAAATCTGAAGCGATTTTAGCTCAAAAAATTGATCCCATCGATTTAGATTCACCATCTCATCTACTTTTATCGAGTGAAAAACGAGAGAGAATATTCTCTGAAAAGTTGGAATCAATTCTTCTTGAGGTAATTCACTTGATCCTAACTGATCTAACTGTCTGGAATTGATGAAAGATTGTAATATATATAAGGACTCGAGACTGCTCACACGGGTTTTATGCGTTATTGGTCCGATCGATAATCCACTGCCCTCTAAGCGTTTCAAAAAAATAGGGGACCGGAACAATTCACCAAATAAAGGTGGGATGATACTATTGTAAAGAAATAAGAAAGAAAGACCGTATCACTGATTAGTAGATAAATGGAAACATCACTTGTGTAGTTCACTTAAAATTAAAGTTTGACAGAAAACTAATCTTATTTCAAACAAATATTAGTACAGATAAACAACAAAATGAATATCCTCCACATATACTGGTGAATGCTTAACCTTCATAATACTTATGAAATTTAGGCTTGTTGGTTATAACAAAGATATCACTGATAATAATGAGTGATAATTGTACAATATCACGAATTGGGTAGAGTCGGGAACGTAAACCATTGGATGTCAACTCACCTGTCTGTAGATTAAGTTCTGTTCACAAGGTTTGAAAATCTTTGAAGTTGTAGATGGGTAATTCTAAAATCCATGTACTAGAATGTAATATCTCTTCAACGCTTCCTTATATCTAATGTCTATCTAGTGAAGGTTAGTCCGTGTTGTAAACTAAAAAGTGAACAGTTTCATAAACTCTTTATACTTGTAATAAACTCTTACTTCAACCTATCCGTTTGTTCATGGGATAACATATATCTTAAAATTTTCAATGTCACTTTAGAAGTTATTCAGATTCTATGTAGTTTAGTTTTATCTTAAAATTAATATTTACATAAATTAATTAATTTAGCAAATACGGATTTGTTATTTCCCGTTAAGCATAATGAATGGTAACTTTTGGGATCCATTTATGGATCAATACTAAATAATTAAACTATTCATATTCATATCCCTCTTATCATAAGCTTTATTTTGACTTATGAACTATTATTATACGAATTACCATTCTTGAATTATGCCCAGTCTATTAATCACTACCTCCCTCATTCACAGCTACATTTGGTCAAATCTTGTATAAATGTTGTTTCCTATTTTATTGGTACTATGTGGTCGGTCTGGATGCTATATAAACTCATATTGCAGAGGCTGAGATTGGTGTTTTGGACTTAACTGGCTGAGCTAGTCAGGAAGCAGAGCCAATATGGACTGTAGACTGCTCACACGAGTTTTATGCGTTATCGGTCCGATCGATAATCCACTGCTTTCTAATTGACGGTATCATTACGTATACACTAATAGGTGACACAGGCCACAAGTTATAACAAGATTGAACAATTCTACTTTAGATCTCATATCTTTTATAGATGTGGGAGGTTTACTGGTCAAACTAACATAGTTACAACCGATAACCTAATGATTAACTTGTCGAATAGATTAATCACTATAGAAAAAACTACCTTTCAGTAGTAATTCTCTAGATATATTTTATTTAGATTTTATCTTAGTTAGTTAATATTCACCCTTATTTGTGTTCTTTTATTCTTGTTTATTGAATAATAACAGGTTAAAAGAATTAACAAGCTTGAAAAAGTATATGGTAATAATGATAACAATAGTAATTTAATTGCCCAGTCTAATCTATGGAATTTAGCATCGACGAAACTTCATGATATTGGTAATTAAGGTTCATATTGTTTTCATATGCAAATATTCTATATTATTATTATTATTATTATTATTATTATTATTATTATTATTGTTAAATTCACTTGGTATTATGAGATGCAGGTACATCCAGCTGACGAGTCCCAAATAGGACGAAACGCGCATCCTGGATTTCACTACTAGCCACTAGCCACTATCCATCTTTGCTTATATTATTATTATTATTATTATTATTATTATTATTATTATTATTACGAATATGTGCCAAAATGGTTGCAGAGTCAAATACAATCAAGTGACCCAATAAGAGTAGAGGACAAACATCCATCATCCTCTATTGCTAAACATATAATTGAAACAGGCCATAAAATTGATCTTAACTCGGTTTTTGTGGCATTGTAGAAAAGTGTAAAAGAGCGTATACTAAAGTTTATTGAAGCTTTAGTCATATGAAAATTCAAACCCCCTTTGTGTATTCAAAAACAGTTTGTTCTCACCTTAAACCTACCCTTGGTAATATTGAATTATTATCCAGAGTGATTAGGTTTCAAATTGTGTTCACATTATTATTATTATTATTATTATTATTACTATTATTATTATTATTATTATTATTATTATTATTATTATTATCAGTATAGGGGTTGTGGAGATTGTTAAGTTTTGATTGAGATCATGAACCGATTGATGTTAGACCACCATTGAAAACCTGGAAGCATTGGACGGTCGTTTCGTCCTATTATGGGACTCCTCAGTAGCAGTGCGCATCCATGATCCCCCTCGCGGGATTCGGACACAGGGCCTTCAGTCTCGCGCGCGAACGCTTAACCTACTGGGCCACTCAGCCGGCATCTAATGATGTTAGTGTCTAACTTCAACAAATCCACGAAGTTTCGCAATCATCTTCCTTTGTACTGAGGTAGACACCTGTTTCTACCTGACACGGATTTGCTCCACTGGTCACGGCTTCTTACCAGAACTCCGAGAATTACTACTTTTATTATTATTACTACTCTTATTATTATTATTCTTATCTCCTCTAACCCCCCCTTTTATTTTTATATATAAATGTTCTTAACAAGTGTATTATATGTAATCAGATTGTTCGAAGTGTATTGCGCTAATATATCATATAATTCTGATAATCTTTTTCTTCTCATTACATTATAGAAATTTATCAAAGGGACTAATTGTTTTAAATTATTATTATTATTATTAGTTTCAACTGTGGGTTGGTCGATATCTACAGAGAATTGTCTAATCCAAATTCCAGCAATATTTCTCTATTCCACATGTATTATTTTCAGCTATCACCTAGTTGTTATATCCTAGTGAAGATTACATTACTAGTAACGTCTGAGACTTATTAATGGACTATTATTATTTATATATTCTTATGGTATAACTATTCAGTAACTAGATTATGTACATCTATATTCTCCTTGTTATAAGCTTCGACCACCGTCTAATCTCAAAATAGTGCATGCAGTGTCGAGTCACCTAGACTGGTGGCCACATTGCATCATGGTCGATAGCATTCGATCTGCACTAATAAGGACTTGACACACATGACATTGGTCACCATCCAGTGATCAATCAATCGTGACGATTTACGGTTCTTAAGCTGTTTTCAGTTTATTGACTACTTACTGCCTCCCACGTTCACAGCCACTTTTTGGCTTTATTGTGTACAAATGTTATTTCCTATTTTATGGTGCGTTGTGGTCTGCTTGGCTGATATGTAAATCCAGTATGTTTGAAATAAATGATTCGATTGGATTCGCATAGTGGAAGCTGGTATTGGTGTTCTGGATTCAAATGGACAGGCTAAATGGATATAGGACCAATAAAGACGCTAGGCTCCTCATACCGGTTGAACGTCATTAGTTTTGGCACAGTGCTAAGATTATATAAATCGTATTTTGATTGGTGAATAAATCACATGATAAAAAGCCGAACATAAACTCACAACACTAGTATCTTAAGCTTTGATGAATTATATGCTCTAATTGGCAAAGTTAACTTTGAATCTGAACCCATATAAATCTTAGCTCATATTAATCTGGAACATTTACTCTTCTAACTCAATCTTCGGTGGGATAATACAATATACTTACTTACTTACTTACACCTGTTACTCCTCGTGAAGGAGCATAGGCCGCTCACCAGCATTCGCCATCCAACCCTGTCCTGGGAAATCCTTTCCAGCTCCTTCCAGTTTCTATTCATCCTTTTCATATCTGCTTCTATTTCTCGACGTAATGTGTTCTTTGGACTTCCTCTTTTCCGCTTCTCTTCAGGATTTCATGTTAGGGCTTGTCTCGTGGTGCAATTTGATGATTTGCGTAATGTATGTCCTATCCATTTCCATCGTCTTTTCCTAATTTCCTCTTCAGCTGGAAGTTGGTTTGTTCTCTCCCACAGAAGGCTATTGCTGATGGTATCCGGCCAATGGATGTTGAGTATCTTGCGTAGACAGCTATTTATAAATACTTGTACTTTCTTGATTGTGGTTGTTGTAGTTCTCCAAGTTTCAGCTCCATACAGTAGAACTGCCTTGACGTTCGTATTGAAGATTCTCACTTTGATATTGGTTGAAAGTTGTTTTGAGTTCCATATGTTCTTCAGTTGTAGGAATGCGACCCTTGCTTTGCCGATCCTTGCCTTTACGTCTGCATCTGAGCCTCCTTGTTCATCGATGATGCTTCCCAGATATGTGAAGGATTCTACATCTTCCAGAGTTTCGCCATCAAGGGTGATTGGATTGCTGTTCTCCGCTTTGAATTTGAAGACCTTGGTTTTCCCTTTCTGTATACTGAGGCCTACTGATGCAGAGACTGCTGCTACACTAGCTGTTTTCATCTGCATCTGTTCGTGTGTACGTGATAGGAGGGCTAGGTCATCTGCGAAGTCCAGATCGTCTAATTGATTCTGAGCTGTCCATTGTATTCCGTGTTTTCCTTCAGATGTCGAGGTCTTCATAATCCAGTCGACCACCAGAAGAAAGAGGAAGGGAGAGAGTAAACAGCCTTGTCTGACTCCGGTCCTTACTTGGAATGCATCTGTCAGCTGTCCTCCATGCACTACTTTGCACTGTAGTCCGTCGTATGAGTTCCGGATAATATTGACAATCTTCTCAGGAACTCCGTAGTGTCGAAGAAGTTTCCATAATGTCCTCCTATCTACACTGTCGAATGCCTTTTCATAATCAATGAAGTTGATGTATAGTGACGAGTTCCACTCAACTGATTGTTCGACGATGATCCGTAGTGTTGCAATTTGGTCTGTGCACGACCGATCCTTTCGGAATCCAGCTTGTTGATCTCGAAGTTGGGCATCTACTGCATCCTTCATCCGGTTCAGCAACACTCTGTTGAAGACTTTCCCTGGTATTGACAGTAGTGTAATGCCTCTGTAGTTTTCACATTTGCTCAGATCTCCTTTCTTTGGAATCTTGATGAGGTGTCCTTCTTTCCAGTCCATTGGCACTTGCTCCTCCTCCTAAATCTTTTTGACTAGATGGTGAAGCATGTTTGTAGTTACTTCGATGTCTGACTTCAGTGCTTCAGCTGGTATGTTGTCGGGTCCTGCTGCTTTCCCGTTCTTGATTTGTCTGACGGCCATTCTAATTTCTTCCATCGTTGGTGGGTTGACATCTATAGGAAGATCTGTGTGTGCTGCTTCGATGTCCGGTGGATTTATTGGAGCCGGCCTATTCAGGAGTTCCTCGAAGTATTCTACCCATCTGTTTCGCTGTTGTTGAATTTCAGTGATTGGCTTGCCTTCTTTGTCTTTGACCGGCCTCTCTGGTTTACTGTATTTCCCTGATAGTTTCTTCGTTGTATCGTAGAGCTGTTTCATATTTCCTTCTCTAGCAGCTTTTTCTGCCGTCGTTGCTAATTCTTCCACGTATTTCTTCTTGTCGGCTCTAATGCTCCTCTTCACTTGCTTGTTTGCTTCTATGTATTCAGCTTGTGCTTGGACTTTCTCTGCTCGTGTTCGGCTGTTGTTAATTGCTGTCTTCTTGTTCTTCCTTTCTTTGATCTTGTCCAGTGTTTCTGTAGAGATCCATTCCTTATGATGGTGTTTCTTTAGGCCCAGAACCTCTTGACACGTTGAAGTCAATGTTTCTTTGATGCCTTTCCAGTTGTCCTCCATGGTAGTTTCTTCTTCCTTCAGTAGATCATGAAAGGCTTGGAACCTGTTGTTGAGAGTTATCTTGAATTCGTTGAGTTTGCTAGTATCTCGAAGGAAGGCTGTATTGAACCTTTGTATTGCTGTTTGTCCACTTGTCCAGTACTTTTTTAGCTTCAGTTTTAAATTGGCTACAACTAGGTGGTGATCTGAAGCTACGTCAGCACCTCTCCTGGTTCTCACATCTTCCATTGTCCTTCGGAATTTTTTGTTGATGCAAATATGATCTATTTGGTTCTCTGTAGTGTGGTCCGGTGAGATCCATGTAGCCTTGTGTATACGTTTGTGTGGAAATATTGTGCCTCCTATGACTAATTTGTTGAATGCACACAAATTTGCAAATCTTTCTCCATTTTCGTTCCTCTCTCCCAGTCCATGTCGTCCCATAGTATCTTCATATCCAGTGTTGTCTATTCCGACTTTGGCATTGAGATCTCCCATTAAAATGGTGAGGTCCTTTCTTGAGCATTTCTCTATGATTGACTGCAGCCGCTCGTAGAATTGATCTTTAATGTCGTCGTTGCTATCATTGGTGGGTGCATAACATTGGATAATATTCATTGTGATCCCCTCCTTCTTTGTTTTGAATGATGCTTTGATGATTCTGGATCCGTGGGATTCCCAACCTACAAGTGCATTTCGTGCTACTTTGGACAGCATTAGAGCAACTCCCTGAGTGTGTGGAGCATTTTCCTCTTCGTGACCGGAGTATAGCAGCATCTCTCCCGTAGCTAGCCTTTTCTGTCCAGCTTGGGTCCAGTGAGTTTCGCTGATTCCCAGTACTGCTAAGTTTTATCTCCTCATTTCAAATTGATATTTGACTGGTCTTCCCGGTTTCCCACATTGTTCGAACGTTCCATGTACCTATAAAAATTTTTGCTCTGGTTGTTAGAAGGGGCATCAGCTTCGTGGCTTCCGAAGGAACTCGGCTTTCACCATGAAGCGTCATACTTCTTTTAAATGAAGACCTTCTAACTCTCAGGGCAGAGTTAAAATGGTTTAAATTATTTTTTCTGGTAAGCGTTTTTTTAGCGAGTTAGTTTTCTACGGTATGGGGACGCTAACCCCATGCCCAACCCTCCTCCTTTACGCGGGCTTGGGACCGGCAGTAACTCTAGAAGAGCTACAGGCGGAGTTATAATACAATATAGCAAGAAGTATATTCTATGGGAATCAACTCAAACAATAATATAGAGCAATTTCCTTACCATACACATTAAAATGAACAAGAAATTACAATATAGGTATAACTAGACCAGAGTTGGATGAGAACGTAGGAGAAAGGTGAATTGTTATTCAACTATAATATAACGATCGTAAGACATATAACATGATTTGAATTAGCCTACTGAAAGCTCATAATAGGGAGAATACAAAGATATGGGGATTCGGTTATATGTATTAGCAATCCATAAGATAATTTTGAAAGTTACTACGTCTTCAATATTGTTACCATAGCAACATTATTACAATTATTACTATTGTTATTATTTTCAATATTCTAGATAATATTACACAAATATACTATGTCAATAATTTGATTCCACCCTTAAGTCCTACATTAAATCCTTTAAATTCCAATATTATTTCAATGTCACAAATACCTGGTCGTGTTTCAATGCATAAAAATATGAATTATGAATCTAATGTAATTGTCATGAATGAATACAAAAAGGATCATAATGATTATTGCTACGATCATGTTTTAAAAAAGGTAAGAAAAGAATTGAAATTATGTTTAGTTATTATCCTTATGTGTTTATGTTTTTAGAATGTTGGTTAAGTGTTTATTATAAATGAATTTCCTGTTTTATTCGTAAATATAAACATTACTGATGCAGAGACTGCTGCTACACTGACTGTCTTTATCTGCATCGGTTCGTGTGTACGCGATAGGAGGGCTAGGTCATCTGCGAAGTGCAAATCATCTAATTGGTTCTGAGCTGTCCATTGTATTCCGTGTTTTCCTTCAGATGTCGAGGTCTTCATAATCCAGTCGACCACCAGAAGAAAGAGGAAGGGAGAGAGTAAACAGCCTTGTCTGACTCCGGTCCTTACTTGGAATGCATCTGTCAGCTGTCCTTCATGCACGACCTTGCACTGTAGTCCGTCGTATGAGTTCCGGATAATGTTGATAATCTTCTCAGGAACTCCGTAGTGTCGAAGAAGTTTCCATAACGTCATCCTATCTACACTGTCAAATGCCTCTGTAGTTTTCACGTTTGCTCAGATCTCCTTTCTTTGGAATCTTGATGAGGTGTCCTTCTTTCCAGTCCATTGGCACTTGCTCCTCCTCCTAAATCTTTTTGACTAGATGGTGAAGCATGTTTGTAGTTACTTCGATGTCTGACTTCAGTGCTTCAGCTAGTATGTTGTCGGGTCCTGCTGCTTTCCCGCTCTTGATTTGTCTGATGGCCATTCTGATTTCTTCCATCGTTGGTGGATTGACATCTATAGGAAGATCTGCGTGTGCTGCTTCAATGTCCGGTGGATTTATTGGAGCCGGCCTATTCAGGAGTTCTTCGAAGTACACTACCCATCTGTTCCGCTGTTGTTGAATTTCAGTGATTGGCTTGCCTTCTTTGTCTTTGACCGGCCTCTCTGGTTTACTATATTTCCCTGCTAGTTTCTTCGTTGTATCGTAAAGCTGCTTCATATTTTCCTCTCTTGCACCTTTTTCCGTTGTCGTTGCTAGCTCTTCAACGTATTTCCGTTTGTCGGCTTTAATGCCCTTCTTCACTTGCTTGCTTGCTTCTGTAAATTCAGTTTGTCGCTTAACTTTCTTAACTCTTGTTCGACTGCTGTTAATTGCTGTCTTCTTGTTCTTCCTTTCTTGAATCTTGCCCAGGATTTCCATAGAGATTCATTCTTTATGATGATGCTTCTTGAGGCCAAGAACCTCTTGACACGTTGAAGTTAATGCTTCTTTGATACCTTTCCAGTTGTCCTCCATAGTAGTTTCTTCTTCCTTCAGTAGATCCTGTAAGGCTTGGAACCTGTTGTTGAGAGTTATCTTGAATTCGTTGAGTTTGCTAGTATCTCGAAGGAAGGCTGTATTGAACCTTTGTAGTGCTGTTTGTCTATTTGTCCAGTGCTTCTTTAGCTCTAGCTTTAAATTGGCCACAACTAGGTGGTGGTGTGAAGCCATATCAGCTCCTCTCCTGGTTCTCATATCTTCCATTGTCCGTCGGAAATTTTTATTGATGCAGATATGATCTATCTGGTTCTCTGTAGTGTGGTCCGGTGAGATCCATGTAGCCTTGTGTATACGCTTGTGTGGAAATATTGTGCCTCCTATGACCAGTTTGTTGAATGCACATAGATTTGCAAATCTTTCTCCATTTTCGTTCCTCTCTCCCAGTCCATGTCGTCCCATAATATCTTCATATCCGGTGTTGTCTATTCCGACTTTGGCATTTAGATCTCCCATTAGAATGGTTAGGTCCTTTCTTGGACATTTCTCTGTGATTAACTGCAGCCGCTAGTAGAATTGATCTTAAATGTCGTCGTTGCTATCATTGGTGGGTGCATAACATTGGATAATATTCATTGTGATCCCCTCCTTCTTTGTTTTGAATGATGCTTTGATGATTCTGGATCCGTGAGATTCCCATCCTACAAGTGCATCTCGTGCTACTTTGAAAAGTATCATAGGAACTCCCTGAGTGTGTGGAGCATTTTCCTCTTCGTGACCGGAGTATAGTAGCGTCTCTCCCGTAGCTAGCCTTTTCTGTCCAGCTTGGGTCCAGTGGGTTTCGCTGATTCCCAGTACTGCTAAGTTTTATCTCCTCATTTCAAATTGATATTTGACTGGTCTTCCCGGTTTCCCACATTGTTCGAACGTTCCATGTACCTATAAAAATTTTTGCTCTGGTTGTTAGAAGGGGCATCAGCTTCGTGGCTTCCGAAGGAACTCGGCTTTCACCATGAAGCGTCATACTTCTTTTAAATGAAGACCTTCTAACTCTCAGGGCAGAGTTAAAATGGTTTAAATTATTTTTTCTGGTAAGCGTTTTTTTAGCGAGTTAGTTTTCTACGGTATGGGGACGCTAACCCCATGCCCAACCCTCCTCCTTTACGCGGGCTTGGGACCGGCAGTAACTCTAGAAGAGCTACAGGCGGAGTTAGCAAACGATGATAACTACATAATATTCAAAATGTTAGCCAGCCAGCTTGTCTGAAGGTTGAACATTCTCTTCAAGGCCTGGAAATTTTTAGGTTGAATCCCTGATAGCATCATGAGTTCTCATTGCTAAGGGAAGTCCTGTGCTAGAATGAAGCAGCTGTCCAATGCTTCTTGGTTCTTCATGGTTGTCTAACTGAATTCAATTAGTAATTTGAAGCTTAAAATACTATGTTTGTTGTTTAGGGAAATAGCAATCTATAAACCACATGTATTGATATTCAGTTCTATTTAATTATACAGTACACTGTATAAGTGCCTGTTATCAGAACATCTGACTCCTAGATTCGAATATAATTGTGGATATCAACATCCAGCTGATGCGTCAAAAACCTGATGAAACTCTTATCTTGAATTCCACTGTTATCTTTTATAAAGGTGAATTGGAGCAAAGTGTAAATATGAGAAATTTTACAGAATTACTTAATTTAAGAGAGAAAAAAGTTTTCACATTGAGTGTCCTTATTTTACTTAATTAGGAATGTGAACAATTATCTCCCAAACAATCAATTAAACCTGAAAATAAGTGTGACACTTCAGAGTTATCACCAATGTTCTCTAATACCCTTTCCAAATCTTCATCATATATGACTAATGTAAGTTGTTTTTGGATACTATTTTAATAATATATTGTTTGAATTTCTATTCTTAAACAAATAACCTGTTGGTAGGTACAGAAGATCCACCTTGGGAGAATTGGAAAACACTGATTCCAAACCAATTGTGCACATAGGCTCCAGGGTCATTACAATACAAACGATATATGATATAACGGATGTTTAAAATATCATTTCTCACTCTCACGTACATTACAATAATTCGTTAATACATTAATAAGACGATTCAAGTTTTATCAGAATTAGAATTCACGACCCAAAATAGAGAACCAGATTAACTCTAGATAATACTTTATTAAATACAGTTGCAAGGAGTCACACACAGTGAGTCCAGTGTAAAAATCAATCATAAGGACTATTAAATACGAGACTATTCCATTCCAGTAGTGTGATTTGGCAGAGTTCACCACTCTCACCTCCCCTTACTAAATTGACCATTGTTATATCCGGTGAAGATTAAATTACAGGTAACTTCCGAGGACTATTCATGGACTAATATTCTATAAATATTCTTATTGTATAACTATTCAACAATTACACTATGTATATTTATATTCCTTTTATGATAAGCTTTATTTTGACTTATAATCTATTATTGTACGATTTATGGTTCTTAAGTTATGTTCAGTTTATTAACTACTGCCTCCCACATTCACAGTCACTTTTTGGGCTTATTTGTCTACAAATATTATTTCCTATTTTATGGTACGTTGCGGTCTGTCTGATTGATATAAAAACCGGGTGTGTCTGAAATAAACGATCTGCTCTGATTCGGAAGCTGGTATCTTGTTCTGGACTCAATTGTAAGGGCTCGTAGGACATAGGACCAATAAGGACGCTAAACTGCCCACACCGGTAGAACGTCATTGGTTGGCCTAGTGTGAAGATTCGTATAAGTCGTACTCGGATTGGTAGACAAGTCGTGTGATAGAAAAGTCAGACATCCAAGGTCATAACAACCATTGATGACGTTCTGGAAACAGCTTTGCTAGAAGTAGGTGATAGTGGTGTAGATCTGTTGCCTAGAAAAATGCTATTCATACTTTGTTCTGTCGATAGTATTCTGTTACTTTGTGGTGATCCTGAAGTTATGCAAAATGCAATTAATCAGTTGGCAATCAGTGACCGTATGCCATGTGCTCTGCATCTTATGAGTGAATTTTGCACTTAGAAGACTGTGAGAACTTTGTTCCTGCTCTTAATCTTGGTAGTGAGCATTTAGGAGTAGTTGGGAAGTTCGTATATCTGGGAGGTAGTGTAACTGAAGAGGCCAATCTATGTTTAGTGAAAGTCAGAAAAGCTTATACCAATCTGATTATGAAAGGTCAGAGCAGTTTTACTCTATGCTCATGAAACTTGTTCTCTCCGAGTTAAGGATGTCCGGCGACTCTTTATTCGATCACCGACGACATTCAGTGGTTATGCCATGTTAATAATTTGGAGGTTCAGCAGTGTGTTACGACATAGTGGCGATAATTTAATTGGTATCACAATTTTGAAATACCGACTTCAGTGGCTTCGACATGTAATAAAGTCTTGTTATAGGGAATTCCACGTCTTGCATTTATTATCCGACTCACCGTGGTTAAAAAGAGCTGTGAGGCAATCAGCTTCTGATATAATACCTAGGTATCCGTCGGTCCTTCACAACTCCACTGAGATAGTACTACAGCACAGTGGTTTGAAACACTATTAGACATGGTTTGGAATAAAAGTCAGTGGTAGTCATGTTGTGATTCTAGTCAATTATGCAACATTATATTTAAGATTTTTATTCTAAGATTTTGTGTGTTGATTTAACACAAGCAAAATTTATTTCCATTAGGGAAATGTTTCGAGATATCCTTTTTATTGCTATTAAAGATGTTACCACCTGATTATGATACCTTATTTCATATATTATTATCATATCATTTCATACTAGTTAAATATTTTCAGTAGTATAAATTAAATCAACACATATTTGAAACTTCACATAACAGATTAATTTCGGTAAGATAATTATTGAAAGCCAGAAGTCATTAGATATTTGGTTTAACCTGATAAAGGAATTCTCAGTCATACAAATCCATAACCAGTGGTAATGACCATGAACTTCATAGCATTGATTTAATTTGTATCAGAAGCGGTTTTGTGGAGATTGTAGTAATTTCAACAGTTTAGATCATGAGTCAATTGAAGCTAGACCACCATGGAAAACCTGGAAGCACTGTTTGACGGCCATTTCGTCCTATTGTGGGACTCCTCAGCAGTGCGCATCCACGACCCCGTCTCGTGTGATTCGAATCCAGGACCTGTCAGTCTCGCGTCAGCCGCTTAACCAACTAGCTTCAATTGACTCATAATCTCAACTGTTGACATTGATTTCATTGTCAAACCTGAAACTCCTGGTTTTGTTCATTGGTTAGGTTATAAATGCCTACTATTGAAGAATCAATTGCACATTTATATGAAACACCTCTATAATACTTTCTGATATATGAAGATTGATTTCATTTCAGATACCTTCTAATCCATTATTATCAATGATTGGGAATAATTTATGCTCAGATTTATGTTTAATATTGGATGAAGGTGATATAATTCCAGCGCATAAATTTATATTTGCAGCTTGGAATTTAAATATTGATTATTCACAGGTATGATTTATGATGTAATTATTGTTTGTTTTCTTTCACTCACACCATATTAATTACAAGTAGATATTATTAATGAAGGATGGTGATGGGTAGTGTGACCTATGCTCCTCCATGAGGGGGGTAACAGGCATAAGTGAGTAAGTACTATTAATGCATGTTCAGTTAGATTGCTTATTGATTAGTCTGTATTTTTATTACTATTATTCGATGCTCGAAATGCTCTCACATGGCCACGCGTATATAGCCTCTGCCAGGGAAGTCCTACTCACTGCCTTCTCTTGGCGGGGGTGTTGTTTACGAAAATGAGAGGAAGAAAAGCGAATGTCCGGCGCTTTAACCGGATTCCAAACCAATGGTGCACATGGGCTCCAGGATCCTGAGGGAAAAAATGGCGTATGAACCAATTGTGGGTCACCGGCTTCCATGGGACTGCATCTCCTTACGATGCTTCACTGCCTTGTGGATCAGACCTTCAGGTCGAAGGCTCGAGGAGTGGCCCCCTAAGAAAACCACCTGCTTCGGTTTGGGTACCCGTGCAGTATCACAGCCCTCACACATATCGAATGAGATTTGTGTGGCGCATATGTATTTGGTGCCTCCTTGTACCAATGTCTATGTGTTAAAATAAATAAATAAAACTGATTTCGTGATTATTATCATTGTTTTATTGGTCAATATCCATACAGATTGTTTTTGGTTATATTGGATTATTTGAGTTGAATGATTTCACTATGAAGTTTTCATCGTCATTGAATGACAATAACATCATCATCTGTTTCAAGTAGAATTGAGAATTTTATTCCTTCCACTAAACAGTTCGTTTTGATACCTGTAAAAGTATACTTTAGAGACGAGGACACTTAGATTAGAGAACGCAATTTACAGGTTTCTAAGCCAAATTCAAATCATATGTATGAGGAACAATAAAATTTCCTTTGTACATTCCTCAGAACGCTTAAAATGATTGTGGAAAATTGTTTTTTTTTTCTTCGCTGTCTACAAATGCTTCATTTTTTCTCTTTAAACTGTATATAACAGGCAAACTGACACTATCGCTAGATTCTAACCCTAATCTGGTAATTCTGAAACAAAACACCCTCATGGTACTACATTTTATAGATGAACTAATCAGACATAGATTCTTATAATTTTTGATAAAATGCATTTATCCATATCACTGTAAAGTATTTTTACCTTATAGCTTATATAGGGTCATGATAAAAACCCCAACTGTAACTAAGAACAATATAGGGATCCTTAACAATCTGTTTGGTTCCCTTCAAGAGTTTGAAGGTCTGTACAATCATTATTAATTTGAACGAGTTTATAAACTGTTTCTTTTTTAAAATATGAAGTCTGAGAAGCCTAAAGGAGATATCAATCAACTTATTAATTGCGTAAAATCGGTCCACACTTTCTAATATTATCGTTTTATTTACTATAGACTATCTCAATAGTTTAGATCATAAGTCAATTAAAACTAGACCACCATGAAAAACCTGGAAGCACTGGATGGCCGTTTAGTCCTATTGTGGGACTCTTCAGCAGTGCGCATCCACGATCCCACCTCTCGGGATTCGAACTCAGGACCTATCTATTTATAAGAACTGTTTTCTGATTGGCTAAAACTGGCTGAAAACTTGTCACGGCAGTTTTAAGCTCGTCTCTAAAGTATACTTCTACCCTATTGGCCTTATTTTCAAATGATTATCTTCACAGATTCTTATAGCACGGTAGACTTTTTTTGTTCAATTGACTTTAGATCATATGATTGGTTGATCATTTTTACCATAGATTGATAAATTACGATTATGTAGATCTGTTTGTTGACTGTAACTTAACCTGAATGGTATACTTCTGGATATTCTTTAAATTCAATGAATTCAAATTGGTTCATTTAACGATTTTGAAATTCGTTTATTTAAGATCCCAGCAGCTTTGTCTCATTCAAATTCCATATTCGGTACTTCGATTAATAATTGAAAGATTTCATTTATATAGGAGATATGTGGATGATACTTTCATTATCTGTGAAGAAGATATAGACCTTAATGGAATTTTGAATAGTTTCAATAATTGTCACCCATCAATTCAATTTACTTTAAAAGCCGAGGCAAACCATGAATTTCATTGTCTTGATGTCCGATTGAAAAGAATACCGGCTGGGTTTTTTGTTTACAAAGGTCTATATTTAGAAAACCTACCTGGAATGGACAATACACAAATTTCCATAGTTGGATCCCACTGAGTAGAAAGACGAACTTAATTTACTCTTTATCCTCTAGGATGAAGCGAATCTGTACGAATGACACAATAGATGAGGAACTATTTCAACTTCGACAGACTCTCATCAGAAATGGTTATTCACCTAGATTCGTCGATAGAAACTTAACACCTAGACTTCATCATGACAAAGCATCGACAGTAGAGAAGAAAACCTTATTTATGAATATGGAATCTAAAGGAGACACGATTGTTGATGTCTGCAGTAACGGGATTTCGAAATCATTGAATAAAACGTTCTACGCAGTCAACCAAGCTCCGAATCGTTTTCTCTAACCGACCTACCATTGTGGGAGGTGTTAAGGATAAACTTCGGCTTTTGACCACGTCAATATGTATCTATAAATTTACTTGCTCATGTGGGGCAAGTTACATAGGCCTCACAAAGCGATCACTATCCAAACACATCTCAGAAAAAAGAAACCTCTGATTACTTTTACTTATCAAAAGATGATGTATTATCTTGGTTAGGGTTAAAACTATTCACCTTATAGATTTGATTGATTCATTATGTTGAAAGTGGACTTCATGTTATAAACTTACTGGTTACCATCTTTTCTATCTGTCATCTGATTAGTTTAGATTTCATGTATTGAAGAGATACCAATGATTGTTTATCCAGATAGCAGTTTTGTTTATATGTTATACTAAGGATTAAATGTCTTTGAAGATTATTTTCATCAACGACTGATATCAATAGTGGGACTATAATTTATGGACGACGCTAAACAGACCTTGAGAGCTAGGGCTAAATGAGTGTTATAAAGCAGTTTGAAGAATAATGAATATGATTTATAGTTGATGGTTAGGTTTAGGAATTAGATTTAAGGTTTCCATCACGAACTGACATCAGTTATAATGCCAAGACTCTATTGAGCCAAATGAGTAAATGAATTCCGCGTCGAAATCCAAGACATGTTATCATAAATCTGATTGTTTCGTCCATAAACTATAGTCTCGCCAATATCAGTTTATGAATTATTAAAACTCAGAGAATATTACAAAGAAAAGGACTCTTAAATTTAATATTCCGTCGGTTATAAAATATCTTCAGTGAGATATTTGTTCATGATTCTATCCAGCCTACCTAACCGATGAAATGTACTTGAAAGAGCTTCATATATCATCATAGAATCATTCCATTGAGTTAAGTGATTTGATTAGTCTTTAAACAATTTATTTTATTTATTTATTTGAACACATACATACTGATATAAGAGGGCACCAGATACCTATGCGCCACACAAATCTCATTTAATTTGTGTGAGGGCTGTGATACTGCCTTGGTGCCCAAACCGAAGTAGGTGATTTTCTTAGGGGGCCACAACTGGAGCCTTCAACCTAAAGGCCTGATCCACAAGGCAGTGGAGCATCGTAAGGAGATGCAGTCCCATGTTAGCCGGTGACCCACAATTGGTTCATACGCCAATTTTTCCCTCAGGATACTGGAGCCCATGTGTACTATTGGTTTTGAATCAGGGTTCTCCAACTCTCCTAGGTGGACTCTCCATGTCCACCGACCCGGTTAAAGCGCCGGGCATTCGCTTTTCGTTTTCTCAATTTCGTAAACAACACCCATGGTGCGAGAAGGTAGTGATTAGGACTTCCCTGGTAAAGGCTATATACTCGTGGCCATGTGAGAGCATTTAGATTGGGAGAGGTGACTCTCCCCACTCTCGCCCCTAGCAGGGCATTTAGGAGCCATTAAAAAATTAATTTGTATACTTTATCAGGTGTATGATTTTAATTTAATTTAGAGTTGTCGACTCATTTTTTTTGTCTCTCTGTTATCTTCTCTATAGTGTGATATCATTGAAATTCATAATGTATCCAAAGGTGAACTTATTAATCTTTTACAAATATTATACAGTGGAGATCGATCAAGACTTACGATTGAATATATTAATCATGCATCAGAAGCATTACAAAACGTAATCAGAAAGTAAGTAGTAGTAATACATCAGCACTGTATACATGTGTATATAATGAATTATATTTGTACGCAGAACTCAGGTTTTAAATTGTGGATAACCGAAGCTTTAAAAATATAATGCAGGTAAAAGTATACATCTCTTTACATTGTTGACTATCAAAGGCTGAATTGAAGGATGAATATCTTTTGTCTACATGTTGCAGAATCGGTGACATAATTGAACTTATTCCGAACTTTTCCAAACCATACTGGTAGATGCTACAAAAATGCGATGGAGAATTAACCTACACGAACGAACTACGTATCTATCTCCACATGAGGAGGTAAACTGATACACTCGTATTAAATCGATTGGTCTTGGAAACTTATCTTGGTCATGTGCACATATGGAAGAATGTTTATAGTGGTTTTTACAAAGACTTATTGCGATCAATTTCCCTGTGATCGGTCTATGTAGATATCTCGTCAGTATGTCATGAGCAATATTACCCTCAAATTAAAGATGTGAAAACAGGGCTCTCTTTCAAATGGTGGATTTACTTTGTGATGGTTATTTGTCTTTTATATACTACTAGCTAACTGATTAAATGCGATATATATACTATTTGATTGTACGCTATGATGACACCACTGATTTCTCCATTTCTACTAGTCGTTTTTCTCTAAAGAGAAGTCGTGCAGTATTTTTTTTATTGGTTCATATCAATTTATCCAACCTCTGATATTTGTTACGCAGGGCTAAGTGGTGGCTAGTGATGGAATTCAGGACGCATGTTTCGTCCGACTTGGGACTCGTCAGCTGTATGTTTTGTTGTGTTGTATATGTATAATCCAGTTTTGATCGAACTGTTTGGGTAAATTTACTCGACCGTTTTTTAACAGCTATGTTTATTTCACAAATTGAAATCATGAGTCAGTTGAAGCTAGAACACCATTGAAAACCTGGAAGCACTGGACGGCCGTTTCGTCCTAGTATGGGACTCCTCAGCAGTGCGCATCCACGATCCCGCACCACGCGGGGCTCAAACCCAGGACCTACTGGCTTCGCGCGCGAGCACTTAACCATTAGACCACTGAGCCGGCATCCAACGGTGTTAATGTCTAACTTCAACCAATCCACGAAGTTACGCCACCGTACACCATTGTCTTCATTGAGTTACTATCTCACAACAGACCTGATTGAACTCCACTGGTAACGACGAAACTGGTAAGGACGAAACGGCCGTCCAGTGCTTCCAGGTTTTCCATGGTAGTCTAGCTTCAATTGGCTCATGATTTCAACTTGTGAAATTTGCAAAAAGTCTCCACAAAACCCATTCTGATATTATTGTTTTGTTAGTGAATTGTTTTCTTCTAAATACTTATATTTCATTCTTAATCAATAAAGCCATGAGAATTCATTATTCTTCATCATGCTTGAGAACGTTCGATGGCAAAAAGCCCCATCTACATGACTACAACACCAACACCAACTACTACTACTACTACACCACGTCATATTTCTATGTTGTATTGATGATTTAACTAACTATATGTCGGAACGGACCTAAGTACTTCATAATCTCTTAGTAATATTAACAGATGATTTGAAATTTTTCAGAATTCTAGAATTATCCATTTATACGTCAATAGATCTCAAGCTGTGTAATGAAATAAATCTTCAAAACTTTTCAACATTTAACGAAATGGGTAGTACCAGAGAGTTGAGCGACCAGTAAAATTGTTAATGTACTCATCATTTATTTATTTATTTGTTAGAACACATAAATATTGGTACAAGAGGGTACCAAATTTATATGCGCCACACAATTATCGACAGTTCATCATGTTTGTGTGAGGGCTATGATACTGCCCGGGTGCCCATACCGAAGCAGGTGGTTTTCTGAGGGGGCCACACCCCGAGCTTTTGACCTAAAGGTCTAACCCACAAGGCAGTGGAGCATCGTGAGGAGATGAAGTCCCATGGAAGCCGGTGACGAACAATTGGTTCATACGCCATTTGTTCCGTCAGGATCCTGGAGCCCATGTGCACCATTGGTTTGGAACCTGGTTGAAGAGCCGGACATTCGCTTTTCGTCCTCTCATTTTCTTAAACAACACCCGTGGTGCGATATGGTAGTCAGTAGGACTTCTGTGGCAGAGGCTTTATACCCGTAGCCATTTGAGAGCATTTCGAGAGCGAGGGCGGGCCCACCCCACTCTCGGCCATACCAGGGCATTTGGACCTAAAACATATGATTATTGATCTTTTAGATTTTCTAAGATCAATTATAACAGTTCATATCAAAACTTACGTAATATTTTCAGCTATATACATAACATATATAATGATATCATTTCTATTTATATCTATATATAAATGTTCTATTTTAAGCTGGGGTCTGAATAGTTTAAAACCGGAACTCAACATTGTTAAAACGGATGATTGTTGCCTCATCCATTCAACTGATTTATCAACAGATGACAAAATGGTTAATGATTATTCTCATCCTACTCCTTCTGTTATTTCAATACAAACATCATCAAATTCAAATGAAACAGTACAAATTAATAACTCTTCATTACAAATAAATAATTCAAATCATAATCTTATTACAACTACTGATTACAACTACACAAATTCTACATCTAGCTTTATTGATTCCACTATTCTCCCAATTACAACTCAATCATCGTTAACATCATTAATATCAGTTAATACTCCTATGATTCCATCAAAGTTATACACCTCTAATCCAGGTCAATTTAGTCGTGATTTATTTTTATTCTCTGATAATGATGATGACAATATCAATGAGAATATTGATAATATTGATATAGAAACTTATCATCATTCTAATCAAGTAGAATCTTTACAATCTATTGATGATCGTAATCTTCATGGTACATTTCATACAATTAATAAGCTTACAACAGAAGTAAGTCTATTTTACTTATTACGTAACTGATTGATATCATTATAGTTGATGGTGATATTTCATTCATCTAGGTAATTTTCTAGTAATCTGTAAAACATTATTTAACTGATATATGATTAATCTATTATGGAAATATTTAGATGATATTTAAATTAGTGATGTTTTAACAAATCGCAACAGTGGCGGCCTGCTTGAGCATCTGGGCTACCTGTTCCTGCCATCTAGATATTTCAACAAGTTATCTATTGTTGTTTGTTTTAATATATCATTATATTTATTAATCGCATAACCTATTCTGCTGAGTTTCTGAAAAGTGTACAACCTTTCGTTGTCAAAGTTACAGAAAACTCAATAAGAGACAATGTGGTTGCTGGCAATATACAACGAAAAGAATGTACATTATTCAGTTGTTCATTCACTGAAGTGCTAACATCTAACTGGCGATCACTCAATATTAATCGCCAAGACCGACCAAGAAGAAAGAAACGGAAACTTGTTGAAATACTTTACGCTGAGAATTCTATATTGTACCAAAATTATAATATTGAATAAAGCTAATAATAATAATAATAATAATAATAATAATAATAATAATAACAAATCACATACTTTCTAGCCAAAAATTCTAACTAGTTTAAGTTCACTAGATAATCTAAGATATCAAAATTATGGCTTCATTTTTATTAGTTGAAATTGTTATGGATTTGTCAAAGATGCATTGTTCTGTGATTTTCGCCGATGTACTTATCTACTTACTTACTTACTTACACCTGTTACTCCCAATGGAACATAGGCCGTCGACCAGCATTCTCCAACCCACTCTGTCCTGGGCCTTCTTTTCTAATTTCATCCAATTCTTGTTCATTTTTCTCATGTCTATCTCTATTTCCCGGCGTAATGTGTTCTTTGGTATTCCGCTTCTCCTTTGGCCTTGAGGATTCCATGTGAGGGCTTGTCTTGTGACGCAGTTGGATGCTTTCCTCAATGTGTGTCCTATCCACTTCCAGCGCTTTTTCTTGATTTCCTCCTCCTCTGGAATCTGGTTTTTTCTCCCCCATAATAGGTTGTTTCTGATGTTGTTTGGCCAACGGATCCGAAGTATTTTGCATAGACATCTCTTAATAAACACTTGTATCTTCTGAATAATGGCTTTCGTAATTCTCCAAGTTTCCGCCCCATACAGTAGAGCTGTCTTGATATTTGAACCGAAAATTCTGACCTTGGTGTTGGTCGACAGACAGTTGTTTTGAGTTGCAGATGTTGTTCAATTGTAGATATTCTGCTCTTGTTTTGATGATCCGCACCTTCATATCTGCGTCAGATCCACCGCGTTCATCACTGATGCTGTCCAAATATGTAAAGGTTTTTACATCTTCCAAGTCTTCTCCGTCAATTGTGATTGGATTGGTGCATGCTGTGTTGTATCGGAGAATCTTGCTTTTCCCTTTGTGTATATTGAGACCTACTGCTGCTGAGGCTGCTGCTACACTGGTCGTTTTCTCCTGCTTTTGTTGTTGCGGTTGCGATAGGAGGGTCAGATCATCTGCGAAGTCTACATCGTCCAACTGCATCCTAGAGGTCCACTGTATCCCGTGCTTCCCTTCAGGTGTTGACGTCTTCATGATCCAGTCGATCACCAATATGGTGCATGGTAAAAGGTGTGAACTAATACGCGTTTGAGCTAGAGCATGATCTGTGTCCAAACATGTGCACCAGAATGAGTGAAAGTCTTCTATCGAGCCTATCGAACGATAGCTGATGGCATTATGGTCTATCTGAGTCCATCCTTTGAGCGGGTCGCCATGTTAAGGGACGTTTTTTATGCTTTAAGTTGGTGCTTGCTAGAAATAGGAGATTGTCTAAACACAGTTGTGGCAGACGGTCTCATTGTTTGTTTGCTGGGCCACGACACCGTAAGATCCACCCAAGTGCTTTCCGGTTTTGATTATTCTATTTACTTGGCCATTAAAGTCATCATGCACTTTACTACATTCGAGCGTTTTGCTTTTTGGGAGGAGGATGAGAAGCTTTCTATAAAATTCGTCATTGACTTTATCTGAGCTGCAATCTGTGGGAACGTAGGCTGAGGCAACGGCATGTATCCCTATCTTTTCGAGTTCTTACTGTCCCGTTTAATCGGACAGGGCAGTTCTTAAATCTCCTGAAAAAAATATCCAAAAATCTCGGATTGACTAAAAGTAATTTTGATCACTTTCTTACAATTTTGGAAGCAAAATTAACTGACTTGAAATAAAGTTGAGAACTGTATATGTTTTGACGTTTTCCATTGTTGATTCAACCTTTTTTTTATCAAAGGAACTCACCTATCTATTTTGGTATTGTTTTATCATTTAAGCCAGAAACAATGGATAATAATTCATCAATCCTTCTCTTAAACAACTCTCCAATCTTAAATAATGATATACAAGTTACTACTCCAAAACATTTTTATAATTCTTGGTTAGAAGATGAAACAACTCCATCACCTTTAATGAAACGTATACGCTTATCAAATAATGATGAAATAGTTTCAAATTCATTATTGAATATCACTACTATTACTACTGATGTTAAAATTAGTAGTATCATTAATAGTATTCCTTCTAATTCTGTTTGTTATACGGTAAAATCTATTCTAACTGATTCAGTAGTTGATTTTTTCACTACAAATTCATTTCATAATCACAATACTAATGATAATGATGATGATAATGATAAGATACAGGAAATCAATGAGAGTTTGTCTATTAAACCTACTAATAGAGAGAATTGTCAAGAAATATTTGTTTCGAATCAATCATTGACACCAGATAAACATTTACCAAATTCTATAATGGAATCAGTCAACATTACACCGATTCCTTTGACTCCATTACCTAAATATGAAGAAATGATGACTCCAGAATTGAAAGTAAGTTCACTGTTATAACTTATGTCAATTTAATAGAATAAAAAAAAAAGAGAGAATTCAGCGAAGAAATCTTTCTCTTTTCGACAAAATCATTTACTTAAGCTGTACATTCCTTATATATAGTTAGATATGGAAAATATATGTCTATGGAAGGATAGAAAGGATTGTATCACAAAAATGGATTCGAGAGGTTGACATACTAATCAAGAGGTAAGGAAGAACAGAATTTATGGATCAGATAATAGTCTAATTGAATCCTTTGACTTTGTCGACTCAATTAGAAATATCAACGTAACCGGTAAGAAAATGTTCTCATGAGATGTCATTTCTCCTTTTACAAATGTCCCTCTCAAAGAAACCATTTGTTTTTTATGTGACTATTATTGAAAACAATAATCTTACCTTAAAGAACTATTACTACGATGTACGCTCAACGTGCAATTTAGATTTAATGATGTTTTCTATAGACAAATAGATGGATTTGCAATGGGCTCTCCGTTGGGTCCTCTCTTGACGGATCGTTTCATGGCTAATCTAAAAAATTCGGTACTTCGATTAATAATTGAAAGATTTCATTTATATAGGAGATATGTGGATGATACTTTCATTATCTGTGAAGAAGACATAGACCTTAATGGAATTTTGAATAGTTTCAATAATTGTCACCCATCAATTCAATTTACTTTAGAAGCCGAGGCAAACCATGAATTTCATTTTCTTGATGTCCGATTGAAAAGAATACCGGCTGGTTTTTTTTTACAGAGGTCTATATTTAGAAGACCTACCTGGAATGGACAATACACAAATTTCCATAGTTGGATCCCACTGAGTAGAAAAAGGGACTTAATTCACTCTTTATCCTCTAGGATGAAGCGAATCTGTACGAATGACACAATAGATGATGAACTATTTCAACTTCGACAGACTCTCATCAGAAGTGGTTATTCTCCTAGATTCGTCGATAGAAACTTAACGCCTAGACTTCATCATGAAAAAGCATCGACAGTAGAGAAGAAAACCTTATTTATGAATATGGAATTTAAAGGAGACACGGTTGTTGATGTCTGCAGTAACCGGATTTCGAAATGATTGAATAAAACATTTTACGCAGCCAACCAAGCTCCGAATCGTTTTCTCTAACCGACGTACCATTGTGGGAGGTGTTAAGGATAAACTTCGGCTTTTGACCACGTTAATATGTATCTATAAATTTACTTGCTCATGTGGGGCAAGTTACATAGGCCTCACAAAGCGATCACTATCCAAACACATCTCGGAACATTATACGGTCTGGCTCTTAAAAGGGGAACGTAAAACAATCACTCGTTCGATACAGGAGCACTTAATTAACTGTGGACACATCGCTCCAAAAGACTCTTCATTTAAGGTAGTCTACAGAGTCAAAGGAACTGGATCGAAGGGGGATTCGAATCAATATTTTATGCACCATAGAGGCATTGGCAATCCACGAACTCAAGTCTGAACTTTGCATGCAGAAATGATTTGTCCAACCTCTCGTCCTTCCTTGAACCTAATTCCCTTAATGGGTATGTTTCTGTGTTGGTGTTTTTTTCGTTGTTTTTTCTCCACTTTTATTTAATTATTATCGACACTTTTTTTCAATTTACTATTTTGCACTTTAAACTCTAATCATTTATTATTATGATCTTTGTTGTTTGTCGCTTTTCTTCATATCTGTCCATTGGACTATTATCTGATCCATAAATTCTGTTCTTTCTTACCTCTTGATTAGTACGTTAACCGCTCGAATCCATTTTCTTTTGTGATACAATCCTTTCTATCCTTCTATAGACATATATTTTCCATATCAAACTATATATACGAATGTAAAGCTTAAGTAAATGATTTTGTCGAGAAAAGAAAGATTTCTTCGCTGAATTCTAGTTTTCTTTTATTAAATTGATATGGGTTGTTTTAATTTTCACTATTCAACTCAGCAATTATTTAGATGTTTTTAAAATAGCCCATTACTTATAGTAAGTATATAATGGTCAATGATCCTACTTATCTAGTACTCAGTAGTAAATAAGGCCGGAAATCATATTCTACTTGTTGGAAATTGGCTGTCGTTACCTGTTTGTCATATTGATCGTAACGTATTGTGTGTTTTGTAATTATTCCTCAATTCAAGTTAGAGATAACACTTTCCTCAACTAAATGTCCATGGGCTGAACTTCTACTAGGAGGTTCACTTGTTGACTTGGGATATGCTGATGACATAGTTTTAGTTGATGAAGACGCTGACAAAATCCAGAGTCTTCTGACCACTCTAAGCAACAATGCAAGGATGTTCGGGATGCGATTCTCGCCCTCGAAATGCAAAATATTGTTTCAAGATTTGGTTTCATCGACACCCGAACTAATGATAGGGAGTGAAGTAATTGAGCGTGTCGATCGCTTCACTTATCTTGGAAGTCTCATCAGCCCTTGTGGTCTGGTGTGTGACGAAATCTCAGCACGGATGCAGAAAGCTCGACTAGCTTTTGCTAACTTGTGTGGTTTATGACGTAGACGAGATATCCGTTTACCATCCAAAGGACGTGTTTACTGCGCAGTAGTTCGTTTCGTCCTACTTTATGGTAGTTAAAAAATGGCCGTTAAGAACAGAAGCTATTCGTAGGTTACTAGTATTTGATGATAGATGTCTTCGAAGCATTTCTCGTATATCCTCGGGCCACCGAGTAAGTAACGCAGTGGTTAGGAAACGGGTACTAGGTAAGGATGGCAAATCAATTGATGAAGTCGTGAAACGTCGTCAGTTGAGATGGCTGGGACACGAGTTACATATGCTCAACCACTGACTGCCTCGACGTGCGATGTTTTATGGTGTAGGAGTAGGTTGAAAGAAAGCTTAGGGGTGGCCAGACCAAAACATGATTCAAATCCATGAAGTCACTGACAAGTGAACTGAGCCATGTTGGTAGGTGTAGACCACCTGGTTGAGGACCGCGAAATAATAGCAACCGATGGTTAGAGACCCTGAATGACATGGCTGAAAATCGTTTGTAATGGTGTGAGCAGGTGCATCCACTCTTTGTGTTCTCCCAAATCCCAATCTTCTGAATTCTTCATGTCCCTTTTCTTTTTATCTTTCCAAATTTATTTCACTGTGTTATTCTCTTTGAATAACATCTTCAAACCCTAGTCTTTCCGTTTACTGCTTATACTTTTACTACCCCTACCACTATGGGATTTGAATCGACTACTGCATCTCTGTGCTAATGTAGTATGGTAGTTAGAACTGATGTACGTACGTACAAAGTTCTACGTTGTTACTGACTGACTTATCAGTTTTATTCATATTCGATTTCATTAAGTCCTGTATCCTCAATACTTATCCTATCTAACATAAAACAATCTAATTAATAATGATATTATTAGATAATATCCATTTTAACTATTGTTTACTTTATAATCACAAACTTCATAAGCTTGAACATTTTTAGCCTGAAATATATTGTTTTCACTGTCTTCACAACTGTCTTGTAATGTAACCTAATTATATATCTGTTTGGTAAGTCAAAATGTTTCACCGTTCGATTCAAGAGATTAGTTCACATGCTAGACATATTTGCGAACAGAAATAAGAACATAGTATACTGGAGATGAGTGAGTGAATAGGTTTGTTTTCATATATTTCTATATTCTTCCATAGAAACTACATGACATAGAGAATGTAGTTTTTGACTGTAATATTGTGCTGATTTTAATTTAGTTCTTCTTTAGATTCATAATAATTTTGTAAATTATACTAACTTTCTGTTTGTAATAAAGAAAATTTTTAAAAAAAAGCAGAATGTTTGAGAGAACAATTGTTTTGGTAATAGCTTCATCATCATCATCAAGCTCTGCAGTCCTTACTTATTGTGGTCTTTTACAAAGGCCAAAATAAGGCATGACATTAATGAATTTGACAATGTTATATGTTAAAAATGGTGATTGTTTGTGTTTGTCACGACATAGGTTACCGATGATGGGCTCTTCCATTTATATATACCAATTCAACTGCTCCTGTGGAGCTAGTTACATATGGCTGTACTCAGAGGGCTTTATCCTTGTGAGTTCATGAACATGTACATGGTTGAGAAAAGGAGTTACTGAATCGATCAACAGTACTATTCTTTCTTACCAATTAGATAGTGAACATCATATCAAAATAGAGGAAGTTTTCTCTGTTTTATATGAATTTCCAAAAAATCCACCTCAAGGAGCTAAATCACGGCTACTCCAAATAGCTGAAGCCATCTGGATCAACTCCAGAAAACCGAACTTATATATATCAAGAAACGATATATTCAGCCTTTATGTTTACCTTGGCCTACAACTGAATCACCAGATACCTAAACTGAATATTATAAACCTCTTACCATCTTCTCATTTTCTTTCTGAATGCATTTATCTTAATCTTCACGACCATCTTTCCCAATTTACATGATCTCTTTATCGTAATTTTCCTGATAAGATCCCTCTTCAGTCAGGTACAACATAGGACCAGGCACATACGAGCATCGGTCCAACTTACCATACCTCATTAGCACAACAAGATGAACACTGGACTCATAGAAGTAGTTAATTCAGTGGTGGTAATATATAAAAGAAAGATTGCATATAAGGACATAGTACAGGAAGAAAGAATTAGTGACTTCAATCAATGATGTCACGTTTTGGTTTGGCCTCCCCTAACTTTCTTCCAACCATCCCCTACACTAGTTAGCATTGTATGTCGTGGTAATCGGCGTTCAGGCATACCCTCTTAGTTGAAGTTGAAGTCACGAAACTGATGCCACTTCTAACAACGAGAGCAACAACTTTTATAGGTACCTGGAACGTCCAGACATTATGGGAAGGAAACCGGGAGGACCAGTCAGATAGCTGTGGAAACGAGGAGATACAACTTGGAGAAACCCATTGGACCCAAGCTGGACAGCAAACGTTAGTTACAGGAGAGATGCTGTTGTACTGCGGTCACGAAGAGGAAAATGCTCTATACACTCGGGAAGTTGCTCTGATGCTTTCCAAAGAAGTACGTAGAGCACTTATGGGACGAGAATCTCTTAGACTCAGGATCATCAAAGCATCATTCAAAACAAAGAAGGAGGGAATTACAATTAATGTTATCCAATGTTATGCACATAATAATGATAGCAACGACGACAATAGAGATCAGTTTTACGATAGGCTGCAATCGATCATACCGAAGTGCCCAAGAAAGGACCTCACCATTCTGATAGGAGATCTAAACGCCAAAGTCGGATTAGACAACACCGGATATGAAGATATCATGGGACGAAATGGACTGGAAGAGAGAAACGAAAATGGAGAAAAATTTGCAAATCTGTGTGCATTCAACAAATTGGTCATACGTGGCACAATATTTCCACACAAACGTATACAAAAAGCTACAGGAATCTCACCGGACCACACCACAGAGAACTAAATAGATCATATTCGCATCATCAGGAAATTCTGAAGGACAATGGAAGATGTGAGGACCAAGGGAGGAGCTGACATAGCTTCAGATCACCACCTAGTTGTAGCCAATTTAAAACTGAAGCTAAAGGAGAACTGGACAAATAGACAAACAGCACTACAAAGGTTCAATACAGCCTTCCTTCGAGATACTAGCAAACTCAACGAATTCAAGATAACTCTCAACAACAGGTTCCAAGCCTTACAAGATCTACTGAAGGAAGAAGAAACTAGTATGGAGGACAACTGGAAAGGTATCAAAGAAGCATTAACTTCGACGTGTCAAGAGGTTCTGGGCCTCAAGAAGCATCATCATAAGGAATGAATCTTTATGGAAATCCTGGGCAAGATTCAAGAAAGGAAGAACAAGAAGACAGCAATTAACAGCAGTCGAACAAGAGTAAAGAAAGTTAAGCCACAAACTGAATCCACAGAAGGAAGCAAGCAAGTGAAGAAGGGCATTAAAGCCGACAAACGGAAATACGTTGAAGAGCTAGCAACGACAATGGAAAAAGCTGCAAGAGATGGAAATATGACAATGAAGTAACTGAAAAAAATTATAGTAAACCAGAGACACCGGTCAAGGACAAGGAAGCCAAACCAATCACTGAAATTCATGGACAGACGAACAGATGGGTGAGACACTTGAAGGAACTCTTGTATTAATCAACTCCATTGAATCCACCAGACATCGAAGCAGCACCTGCAGACCTTCCTATAGATGTCACTCCACCAACGATTGAAGGAATCAGGAAGGCCATCAGAAAAATCAAGATCGGGGAAGCAGCACAACCTGACAATATACCAGCTGAAGCTCTGAAATTAGACATAGAAGTAACTGCAAACACACTCCGCGTTCTTTTCAAAAAGATTTGGGAGGAGGAACAAGTGCCAATGGACTGGAAAGAAAAACTCTATCAAGATTCCAAAGAAAGGAAATCTGAGCAAATGTGAGAACTACAGAGGCAGCACACTACTGTCAGTACCAGGAAAGGTTTTCAACAGAGTGTTACTGAACCGGATGAAAGACTCAGTAGACACCCAACTTCCAGATCAACAGGCTGAATCCCTTAAGGATCGGTTGTGCACACACCGAATCGCGACACTACGGATCATTTTTTAACAATCAATCGAATGGAATTCGTCACTATACACCAGCTCCCTTGATTGTGAGAAAGCATTTGACAGTATGAATAGGAGAACATCATGGAAACTTCTTCGACACTATGGTGTACCTGAGAAAATCGTCAGCATCATAGGGAATTGATGTGATGGACTGCAGTGCATAGAGGAAAGCTGACGAATGAATTCTAAAGGAGGACCTTAGTCAGGAAGTGCTACTTACTCTTTCTCTTTCTTCTGGTGGTTGACTGGATTATGAAAACCACAACTAACGGGAAGCGCGGAATACAATGGACAGCTCGGAATCAATTAAAAAATTTGGACTTCGCAGATGACCTGACCGTTCTATCTCATACGCATGAACAAATACAGATAAAGACAACTAGTTTAGCAGCGGCCTCTATACCAGAAGGTCTCAACATACTCAACGAAAAAAGCAAGATCTTCAAATGCAACACGGAGAACATCAACCCAATCACGCCTGATGGAAAAGCTCTGGAAGATGTGGAATCCTTCACGTACCTGGGCAGTATCATCGACGACTAAGGAGGATCTGATGCAGACGTGAAGGCGAGTATTGGCAAAGCAAGAGCCGCCTTCATACAATTGAAGAACCTATGGAACTCAAAACAAAACTGTCAACCAATATCCAAGTCACCATCTTCAATACGAACGTCAAGACAGTTCTACTGTACGGAGCTGAAACGTGTCGAACTACTACAACTATCATCAAGAAAGTATAAGTATTTCTAAACAATTGTCTACGCAAGATATTCAATATCCGTCGGCCGGATATCATCAGCAACAGCCTTCTGTAGGAGAGAACAAACCGACTTCCAGTTGAGGAGGATATTAGGAAAAGATGTTAGAAGTGGATAGGACACATATTGAGGAAATCATTAAACTGCATCACGTGGCAAGTGCCAACTTGGAATCCTGAAGGGAAATGAAAAAAAAGGGAGACCAGAGAACACACTTCGTTGGGTATTGGAAGCAAATACGAAAATGATGGAAAAAACTGGAAAGGGCTGACTGGGACAGAGTTGGATGGAGAATGCTGGTGAGCGGCCTATGTTCCTATGTGAGAGGTAACAGGTCTAAGAAGTAAATAAGTATATTCATACTAATGAATTATGAGGTTATGAATATACTGTCCAACACTTGGATCACTAAACACGTAAGCTGTTCACTTTCTATATTCCATGGTAAATTAGTTGTTTATAGTCAACACCTATTTTCATTCAACTTAAATTTTATCATTTCAAGTGTGAAGTTGGAGCGGTTATTTCTTCGAAACATTTCAAACTTTTCAGTATTCTCCTGTTTCATTTTTATTGTTTTAGCGTGCTTTATCTAAATATGGTGTGAAACCTCTTCCACGTAAACGTGCTATACTACTCTTAAAAGAAATCTATAATCAACTTCATCAATGTAAGTCTATTCACATTTTTTCAGTTGTATTGATGCTCCCAAATGATTTGGTATAGTCAAAGGTTGTGAAAGTTTGTCCTTTCTTTCTCAAAAGACGAATTCACCCATATGTCTTTCTAGCTTCCATCGGGAAGTTCCTTCTCATCACCTTCATGTGGCGGTGATTTATATGAAACGGGGAGGATGAAAAGAGGATATCAAACGCTTAAACTGAGTTAGTGGAGATGAAGCGCCCATCGAAAAAGATAGAAAAACCATGACTTAATGTCAATGGGGTTTATGGGCTCCAGGATCCTGAGAGAGTAATTAGCATACTGATCTATTTCAATCACTGGCTACCATAGGATCGCATCTGACAAGGTTTCTCTGGTGCTTTGTGGATTAGACATCTAAGTTGAAGACTCAAGAAGTTGTCTACTGAGGAAGCCACTTGTTTCGTTTCGGTCGTCCAGACAGTATCCCAGATCATATATATGAACAAAGATTACTGATGAAGTTGTATTCTTCATGTAATTCTTGTATATGAATCAATATCGAATAACTGTTTAATAAATCAGCAGTGAGATACAGACAAATGCATCAACAAAACATACCTTTTAGTAAATGATGACATTTCACTTCACATATGGTTTAACCTCCATCTATCACAATGTCTGTTTCATGAAGCACGTTACTAGCGAGGATATTATTACTATTACTATTATGAGGCATTTGTGGAAATTGTCCAATAGGATGTTAATTATCAGTATGGATCAAAGAAGAAACCTGATGAGTCATTGAAAACTAAAGAGCAATAGATATTTGTCCAATTTTGATCTAGAACTTGTAACGGTTTGGCTTCGAGATAATTGATTAGGTTTAACTTATCAATCACCCTGATAACTGTTATTAAATAAATTCCAATGGGGTATGAATTCAGAAGGCAACACGAAGCGCCGACTATAATTTATTATTGGATAGCGCAGGTAACAAATTACAAACACACCAAGCAGATTTGAGCGAAAAGGCTAATGTGCACGAGCAAGCGAATATTTAGACGGATTCAGAGTCGAAACGAATCAAAGCAAAGTGAAGCAATTATTAAGTTTAAAGCATATATATATATATATAGGGAAGCGAATGATTCATCAAGCTGTTACATGTGATCAAGCATACATGTTCATACGGACAGGATATAATAATAATACAAAAAAATGGACAAATTGTTACTGTTCGAATAACACTGTCTGTTAAATAAGTTAATTGAAGGGCTCGACCAATTAACTGTAAATAAAACTAATTGTGGGATGGGTGCTGTAGACTTTACAGTTGTCTTCGCTCACAATCTCACATGGGATCGAACCTTAGGCTTTCAGGTTTCAGATCGTGTATTTCAAATATTTGTGCAATTGTTTCACTCTAGCATAAAACTTGTTACCAGTGTGTAACTAAAACCCCACTAAAAACACTATTTTTCACATCAAGTATATCAGTTTTTGATAAACTGAATTTAAATCCAACGTTTTACGTTCACAGCTTTAATCAATCCACAATGTATAGTACAACCGTTGTTCAGTGTCATTTATGGATAAATGTTTTATATTAGGATAAATGAATGGTGTAACAACTCCTTGGTTTCATTTGTTCTTGATAAAGAACTATTTCTCAGTATGGGATTTGGTGAAGACTACAAAATTCTCACGAACTGATCGTGGTTAGATCACAATTAGAACCTGAAAACACTCGATGGACGTTTCGTTCTAGTTTAGGGCTCATCCACGATCTTCTACCTTAAAATCTAAACCCAAACTAACGCATCAGCATTCAACGGTGTTAATGTTAAAATCCAAACAATCCATGATATTTCGCAATCACCGTTCCATTGTCTGGTGTCGATAATTCTCACATCTGACATAGTTAAACTCCACTAGTCACGGTTACTCACTAGAACTACAGAAACTGCTCACTATTGAAGAATCTCACATTAGGACAAAACAAATATCTCAATGCTTCCAGGTTTTCAATAAAGGTTTCATCAACATCAGTTCGTCATTATTATTTACTAATTGTATTTAATGTTTAAACTAAGTCACTGTTTCTGTTTATTGCTTTTTGTCACGCCCTACCCCCCCCCCCCCGAAATTGTCAATATAGATGAAGAAGATGAACAGAATCAATTGATGTCTAACAAACGAATTAGATCAATGAAGTACAATAATGATAGACAATTACAAGAAAACTGTATAGATAAAGAAAAGAAATGTAATAATAGATTAGATAGATCTAAGAAGGTGATATTCAATGTTTCAAATAATGTAAATAATGTCTCATTACTGCCCATACGTTATAAAGATGATACTGATAATAGTAATAATAATAATAATAATAATGGTGATAGTGATAGTATTGTTCAACAAGAATTGTTATTATCCACTTCAACTCATTCAAATGAATTACAAAACTTAGCGAATTCTGAAATGATTTCATCGGATCAACTCGCTCATTCAAAGAATCAAGATATGAAAAAACTAAGTCAAAAACAAGTCAATAAAATCAAGGTATTTATATAGTTATTATTATAATAAATATTTTCTTTTGTATTATTCAATGTTTAATCTGGTTAAATGACATTATAATCGTCAGTGTAAGGATTGTGAAGATTATTAAGTTTTTGATTGAGATCATGAACTGATTAATGTTAGATCATTTTATTGAAAACCTGAAAACACTGGACGGTTGTTTCGTCCTATTGTGTGACTCCTCAGCGGTGCACATCCACAATCCTGCTCGAGGGATAATAATACAAAGATTTGCGAATAAATATAACAGAGATAATTACAATTGACGAAAAAAAGGTCATAGTCAATTTAGGCCATTCAGCTATTCTATCCTAATATTTCCTATTTGGATCTTGTGAAGAAATATGTAGTTTTATTATTGATTAAGATCATGAACTGATTGATGTTAGATCACCATTGAAAATCTGGAAGCACTGGATTACCGTTTCGTTTTATTGTGGCTCTCCTCAGCAGTGCGCATCCACGATATCGCCTCGCGGGATTCGAACCCAGAGCCCTCAGTCTCAAGTGCAAACGCCACTGCGTGTCAGGTAGAGACAGGTATCTACCTCAGTACAATGGAAGATGATCGCGCAATTTCGTGGATTGGTTGAGGTTAGACGTTCATACCGTTGGATGCCGGACGGCTTAGTAGTCTAGAAGTTAAGCGTTCACATGCGAAACTAATAGGTCTTTGGTTCGAATTTCGCTGTGTGGGATCATGAATGCACACGACTGAAGAGTCCCACAATAGTGTAAAACAACTGTACAGTGCTTTCAGGTTTTCCATTGTAGTCTAGCTTCAATTGACTCATGATCTCAAGTAATGAAATATCCCACAACATCACAACATTCGATTTGAATGTCATCTGAGTGTTGATTTTTATATTGCGCAGGGATCACCGGGTAAGTAATAGTGAGGTTAGACGCAGGGTATTAGGGAATGATGGTAAATCAGTTGATGAGGTTATGAATCTTCATCGACTGAGATGGTTGGGCCACGTATTACGTATGCCTGAACACCGATTACCACGACGTGCAATGCTAACCGGGGTAGGGGATGGTTGGAAGAAAGTTAGGGGCGGCCAAACCAAAACGTGGCATCAGTGCCTGAAGTCACTAACTTCTAGTCTGAGCCATGTTGGTAGATGCAGACTACTTGGTTGGGGTCCGCGTGACTATCGTAATCAATGGTTGGAGACTCTTGGTGACATGGCTCAGAATCGATTACAATGGCGTCGGTGTATACACTCCCTGTCTTCCCTTAAACTAAAAGATTAAAATCACTTCATTCTTTCTGTCTACGAACTAATTCTTTCTTCCTATACTATATCCTTATTTGCAACCTTTGACCTAACCACTCCTATGAATCCGCTGTTCATCTTGCTGTGCTAATGAGGTATGGCAACCTGGACCGATGCACATATGTGCCTGGTCCTACGTTGTAGCTGACTGACTGACTGACTGACTGATTTTTATATCAAGAGTCAGATCTAACATTGATCACTTTAAATATTATTGTATAATCCACTAAACTATTGAATTATCTGTTGTCTGTTAGTATTTGTTAGATACCAACAAAACAATACGTAACTATTAGGTGTTATACGTTACTCTCTTTTCTTACTATATTCAATCTATTCAATTTTGTTCTGTTTACTTTTCTTTCATTATAGGGTAATATAAATCAAATTGTATTACATTATTTAAAGAATAATCCCAATCTATACATGAATATTTTAACATATACGGTAATTGAAATCATATTGATAATAAGGTTTCTTTTTAGCCATTAGAATTCGATATTGTACATAATATGCTTAAATCTGATGGTATCATAATTGGACAACAAAAACTGATGGATCTTTTCGATGATCAGGTATAAAATTTATTGAATTAAACGGTGAGACTATAATTTATGGATAAACCAATCAGGTATAAGTTGAATAGGTCTTGGATTTCGGCGCGAAATTCACTCATCCATTTAGATAAATCAAGTTTTGACATGATAGATGATGTCAGTTCGTGATGAAAATCCTGAAATCTAATTCTTAACCGCTAACTATCAACTATAAATCATAATTCCAATTCTTCACACTGGTTTATAACCTTCATTTGGTACCGTTTATTAGGTGAACACTCTCAAGGTCACTTCAGCGTTGCTCAAAGGTCGTCCATAAATTGTAGTCTCACTGAATTAGTTACAAACATGTACATTTGGTATATTTTTGTAGCTTTTATAATCATAGGTGATTATTAATTTGTATTTGTTTTCTGTTGTTTTACCAGTTACTACTCTTTAGTATATATATGTGTGTTATCTGTGTAAGATGGCTAGTAACAATATTTAGTCGCCTGAATAGTATAAAATGGAGTGGGTTTCGAACGAGAGACTTATTGATGAACTTCACTAATCAATAGGTTAACACATGTTTACCATCGCTTTGGTAAACTAAACCGTTCACTAGCTACTAGCATAAGAATTGCTAAGTTTGCAACATCTTTCTTGTTATGATCTTGATGTCTGGCTTTTCTATCACGCGACCTATCGACCAATCAAAATACGGCTTATACAATCTTCGCACTATGCCAAACCAATGACGTTCAACCGGTATGAACAGTTTAGTGTCCTTATTGGTCTTATGTCCTCCTAGCCGTTCCACTTGAATCCAGAACATAATACCAGCTTCCGTAATATGAATCGAATCGTAATCGAATCTGATTGAATCGTTTATTTCAGACATACCGGGTTTATATATCAACCAAACACACCGCAACGCACCATAAAATAGAAAATAACATGTGTACACAAATAAGCCCAAAAAGTGGTTGTGAACGAGGGGGACAGTAATTAATAGACTGAACATAACTTAAGAACCGTAAATCGTACAATAATCAATTATAGGTCAAAATAAAGCTTATCATAAGAGGAATATAAATATACATAGTGTAATTGTTGAATAGTTATACAATAAGAATATTAGTCCATGAATAGTCCTCGGAAGTTACCGGTAATTTAATCTTCACTGGGTTATAACATTCTTATTTAACCCTAATCAGTAGATGAACATTTTCAAAGTCATTTTAACATCACTTAAAGGTTGTCCATAAATTATAATCTCATCATCCATTCAATTTGTGAATAGTGAGAAATGTATGTATCATGACCGATTGAACAAGGCACTAAAACATACATCTAAATAACTCTTAATAAGTAACAGATGGAAACAATAAGAATATGTAGATATGTAATGGTAACTGTGATGTTGACAAACTGGTTCGTGTTTGTTATTTCTATCACTGACTGATTTTAGTTAAACAACCATTGAAAATCAAAAAGAACTAGACAAGTATTTCAACCTATTATATGATCTATTACTAGTGGTCATCTACAATACCACCAACAGTTTAATTCAGAAGCGAGACTATAATTTATGGACGACCTTTGAACGAATGTTAAGTGACCTTGATAAATATTAGCCACTCAATAAACAGTTAATATAGAGTTAAAATATATTTTACAAAACCAAAGAAATAGAGTGGATACAATTCCTATACGTGGTTCAAAAACTTTTCGGAGTCAGAATAAGGTTCTAAAATCATAATGCATGCAGTAGAGGAAATCATCCATATGACTACATAATAGTCTCGGCCTTTGAAGTCATGATATGTTCGCAAAAACTACTTCAGCCTCGTTCACATAGCTTCAATATTGTTTGTGTGTACTCCGGTTGTTGAAAACACAAAATGCCGCTTGTGGATAACGACACAATGCACATAACCAAGCCTACGTATGAGTCTGTACGCTCTCCAAACATCCGTATATATTGTTGTACCTGGCTGCCCCCCGGTGTTACTGGTGCTTTTATTATCCAGTTCGCAATAATTGTCATGATTTGCCTTAGTTAGGATTTTCATCATGAACTATAATATCAAAAATCTATTTAGCCAAATGGATGAAAGGCTTTCACGCCAAAATCCAAGATCCGTTATCTTATACCTGATTGATTCGTCCACAAATTGTAGACTCGCCGTTTTATTAGTTATAGCCGCTCAATTATAACGTTTTGTATAAAATCCGCTGTGAACCGATCGTACGTTAGCATTAAGCAATGAAGTTGGCGCCGTGACTTTGAAATCTCTCGAGTGCTTCTGACTGGCTCTTCCGTAAATTAGAGTCTCGCCTCATTTTTTTATTTTTAGAATACTACGTATTTATTCATATTGATAAGAAAACATGCTAATACCTTGATTCTGTTTTTCATGTTTGTTTACATAGTGTATTACATTCACATTACGTAATCGTATCAAAAACCACAATAAATACAATGGTTCAGTGTCTAAGAAATGAATTAGCTCTAACAGAAATATTCTACAGTATGATCTATTATACATATTGTGCCATAAACATAATGTCTTTCATCTTATTATTCCATTAACATTCATTTCCTATAATCTATCCTGTATATTAAACTTCTCATTGAATTATAATGTACAAAATAAGCATCAACTATGCAGAAGTAAAATAAAGTTATATTTTATCAAATACCACATACAATTTATAAGTTTATAAATATAGGCTGTACTTCAACATAAGCACAATTTCCTTTGTTGATATTAGAGCAAGCATTGATGTTAAATGACAAAGCGATATGTGTGTGTTATATCATATGTAAAACAAAACCTGAATCCTCAAACGGGAACTGAACCCTGTCAGACTACGTGAGACGCGTAGATATTCAGAATTATACTATCGAGTGTGTGTGAAGTAAAAGCCAACTCCTCAACTGGAAATCGAACCCGGGCCTTCCACGTGACAGGCGGAGATACTTACCACTTATACTATCGAGGAGCACGTCAATGTCACCACACTCAACACACTCCAAACTAAGCCAAACTCAACCACCAACTCAGATTTTCAGCACTGAATACACGTCAACACTCACACAACACACACTCTCACTCACTCATACACTACCGACAACCGACAACCAACAACTAACACTACACACTTGCATTCATGAACAAACTTTCAGATGGCCAGATAGACGGAAACTCACATCGAATCAAACGCAACATAGTATCTCACGCTTATCAACCTGCTCATTACTCAAATCCTCTATTGGTTGACATACTGATCACCTGTACACAACTCCTCCTCACCATAGTCTAACAACACAGTCAGTGGACTAGGACAAACGGTCAGGTGTTCGTCGACCTACTAGTCGAACGGCGGGTACACCGTGACGATCCAGTGACACAGTACGTCATGACGTATGATGAGCGATGGTGATGGTGATGGTGATGGTGATGACGATAATTGCAGATGAGGCAGATGACGAGAGGTGGATAGTACTGATGTGGACTCACCTCTCCCAATCTCCAGTTTCATGACCATGTGCATAGTTGACAATCGGCCTTCACATGCTCATCGACTGATAGAATGGTGTGTGTGTGTGTTTGTGTTTGTGTTTGTGCATTTGGAAATCACATGATTGATTACCCGTACACCAGACAGATGAATGGATGAATTGATTGGCTAACTGGCCAAGCGTCGTGTAGTGTGTTTGAAAGCTACATTGGTCGATTGATTGACTGGTCGAATAAATTGTTGATTGCAAACTATGGTGATGATGTGATCGATTGACTGTCTTACTGACTGAGGACACTTGCGTGTTTGTAGAGTGTTTGATACTGTGGCGAAATTGATGTGTGGTTCAGTGAGTGGACGAGATGTAGGACTGTGGATTGTAAGAGTGAGTGAATGGTGGATGTAGTGTTGTGTAGCAATGTAGTCGGCCTCCATAGCTCAGTGGTCAGAGCACTGGTCTTGTAAACCAGGGGTCGGGAGTTCGATCCTCCCTGGGGGCAGCAGCTTTTGGCAGCTCGTCACACCACAACACCATACCACCCTACACAGTCACCACACACTGTCTCCTAACATACACACAGTGTACATCGGACTCAACCGAACTTACACAAACACAGTCACTTCAACACACAATCATACTTCCTGTCAGTCCACTCCACCAATACCACACATCACGGAGCACACTCACACAGAACCACATCCACATGCCGACACTGTCACATTGCACTTTCCAACCTCCATCTTACACTGGAAAGCTTGGTATTTGTCTATTGGTCTCAATGCTTCCTCATCATTGCATCCACTCACTCATTTGTCAGTGATCGTTCACTCTCTTGAAATCACACATTCCTTGTAACAGACAACTTGCACGTTTCAGTTCGAATGCAGGTGACGTGATCTGTGTGTGGATGTGTTCAGAGTCCATCAGTCAGATGATCCAGTATATTTTGATATTGTCCATCCGCCTAACTGAAAGCCTGTTGCAATTCCGAATGGTGCATGTCGTGCAAATGTGTGAATTGTGAGTGTGTCAGTACTGTTTGGAAGTAGTCGATTGGTGAGCGAATGGTTCCGGTTACCGATGGGACAGTGATGAGAGGTAGGGGATGTTGGTGCGTGGAACGGAATTGACGCGACATTTGTTTGTAGTGGAGTGGATACAATGCAGTGGACTAGGAGTGGACTGGGAGTGGACAACGTTGAATGAGACAGTGACGATTGTGTGAGTGTGTGTGTGATGTGTGTGTGTGTGTGAAGTAAAAGCCAACTCCTCGACCGGGAATCGAACCCGGGCCTTCCACGTGACAGGCGGAGATACTTACCACTATACTATCGAGGAGCACGTCAATGTCACCACACTCAACACACTCCAAACTAAGCCAAACTCAACCACCAACTCAGATTTTCACCACTGAATACACGTCAACACTCACACAACACACACTCTCACTCACTCATACACTACCGACAACCGACAACCAACAACTAACACTACACACTTGCATTCATGAACAAACTTTCAGATGGCCAGATAGACGGAAACTCACATCGAATCAAACGCAACATAGTATCTCACGCTTATCAACCTGCTCATTACTCAAATCCTCTATTGGTTGACATACTGATCACCTGTACACAACTCCTCCTCACCATAGTCTAACAACACAGTCAGTGGACTAGGACAAACGGTCAGGTGTTCGTCGACCTACTAGTCGAACGGCGGGTACACCGTGACGATCCAGTGACACAGTACGTCATGACGTATGATGAGCGATGGTGATGGTGATGGTGATGGTGATGACGATAATTGCAGATGAGGCAGATGACGAGAGGTGGATAGTACTGATGTGGACTCACCTCTCCCAATCTCCAGTTTCATGACCATGTGCATAGTTGACAATCGGCCTTCACATGCTCATCGACTGATAGAATGGTGTGTGTGTGTGTGTTTGTGTTTGTGTTTGTGCATTTGGAAATCACATGATTGATTACCCGTACACCAGACAGATGAATGGATGAATTGATTGGCTAACTGGCCAAGCGTCGTGTAGTGTGTTTGAAAGCTACATTGGTCGATTGATTGACTGGTCGAATAAATTGTTGATTGCAAACTATGGTGATGATGTGATCGATTGACTGTCTTACTGACTGAGGACACTTGCGTGTTTGTAGAGTGTTTGATACTGTGGCGAAATTGATGTGTGGTTCAGTGAGTGGACGAGATGTAGGACTGTGGATTGTAAGAGTGAGTGAATGGTGGATGTAGTGTTGTGTAGCAATGTAGTCGGCCTCCATAGCTCAGTGGTCAGAGCACTGGTCTTGTCGGGAGTTCGATCCTCCCTGGGGGCAGCAGCTTTTGGCAGCTCGTCACACCACAACACCATACCACCCTACACAGTCACCACACACTGTCTCCTAACATACACACAGTGTACATCGGACTCAACCGAACTTACACAAACACAGTCACTTCAACACACAATCATACTTCCTGTCAGTCCACTCCACCAATACCACACATCACGGAGCACACTCACACAGAACCACATCCACATGCCGACACTGTCACATTGCACTTTCCAACCTCCATCTTACACTGGAAAGCTTGGTATTTGTCTATTGGTCTCAATGCTTCCTCATCATTGCATCCACTCACTCATTTGTCAGTGATCGTTCACTCTCTTGAAATCACACATTCCTTGTAACAGACAACTTGCACGTTTCAGTTCGAATGCAGGTGACGTGATCTGTGTGTGGATGTGTTCAGAGTCCATCAGTCAGATGATCCAGTATATTTTGATCTTGTCCATCCGCCTAACTGAAAGCCTGTTGCAATTCCGAATGGTGCATGTCGTGCAAATGTGTGAATTGTGAGTGTGTCAGTACTGTTTGGAAGTAGTCGATTGGTGAGTGAATGGTTCCGGTTACCGATGGGACAGTGATGAGAGGTAGGGGATGTTGGTGCGTCGAACGGAATTGACGCGACATTTGTTTGTAGTGGAGTGGATACAATGCAGTGGACTAGGAGTGGACTGGGAGTGGACAACGTTGAATGAGACAGTGACGATTGTGTGAGTGTGTGTGTGTGATGTGTGTGATGTGTGTGTGTGTGAAGTAAAAGCCAACTCCTCGACCGGGAATCGAACCCGGGCCTTCCACGTGACAGGCGGAGATACTTACCACTATACTATCGAGGAGCACGTCAATGTCACCACACTCAACACACTCCAAACTAAGCCAAACTCAACCACCAACTCAGATTTTCACCACTGAATACACGTCAACACTCACACAACACACACTCTCACTCACTCATACACTACCGACAACCGACAACCAACAACTAACACTACACACTTGCATTCATGAACAAACTTTCAGATGGCCAGATAGACGGAAACTCACATCGAATCAAACGCAACATAGTATCTCACGCTTATCAACCTGCTCATTACTCAAATCCTCTATTGGTTGACATACTGATCACCTGTACACAACTCCTCCTCACCATAGTCTAACAATACAGTCAGTGGACTAGGACAAACGGTCAGGTGTTCGTCGACCTACTAGTCGAACGGCGGGTACACCGTGACGATCCAGTGACACAGTACGTCATGACGTATGATGAGCGATGGTGATGGTGATGACGATAATTGCAGATGACGAGAGGTGGACTCACCTCTCCCAATCTCCAGTTTCATGACCATGTGCATAGTTGACAATCGGCCTTCACATGCTCATCGACTGATAGAATGGTGTGTGTGTGTGTTTGTGTTTGTGTTTGTGCATTTGGAAATCACATGGTTGATTACCCGTACACCAGACAGATGAATGGATGAATTGATTGGCTAACTGGCCAAGCGTCGTGTAGTGTGTTTGAAAGCTACATTGGTCGATTGATTGACTGGTCGAATAAATTGTTGATTGCAAACTATGGTGATGATGTGATCGATTGACTGTCTTACTGACTGAGGACACTTGCGTGTTTGTAGAGTGTTTGATACTGTGGCGAAATTGATGTGTGGTTCAGTGAGTGGACGAGATGTAGGACTGTGGATTGTAAGAGTGAGTGAATGGTGGATGTAG